GCATGGTCACGCATGGTCACGCATGGTCACGCATGGTCACGCATGGTCACGCATGGTCACGCATGGTCACGCATGGTCACGCATGGTCACGCATGGTCACGCATGGTCACGCATGGTCACGCATGCATGGGCACGCATGCGAGGGAAGAAGTGTTGGAGGGGGGTGGCGAAGAACGGAAGTGGAAAGCGTTGAAGGAGAGGGAGGGGGGAGGCGAACAAGGGAGGTGAAGGGAGGGGATGAAGGAGCGGGGGCGAAGTGAGGTGCGAAAGGGGGAGGCAGAGTTTGAGCGGTGAATCAAATCAGGAACAAATAGCGGAAAAGGGAGAAGCCTGCGGCAAAGATGCGCGCTGTGAGAGCTCCAATTTCAAAGAGTGAATTTTAAGCTGGATTGAATCCGAACCTTGCTTACATCGGGACGTACCAGTCCGTGCTCGTTGGCTCGGTAGCGAATGAGCATGCTGTCGCCGAGCCTGCTGGCCACGAAGAGCAGGTTCGGGCCGAGGCTGAGGATGCCTGAAGCCTGCACTGTGGCCCGAACCTGCAGCAGGTCCAAACGGAAGGTAAACGCCCTGTGGAAAAGGGTGAGGGTTAGAGCGGGGGGGTGGGGGGGGTAGGGGGTCAGCAGGCTGATGGCGACTGATGCCTGCCTTTCTGCACGGTGGCACAAACCTGCAGCAGATCGTAACGGAAGGTAGACGCCCTGTGGCATAAGGTTGGGGGTTTGGGGGTGTGGGGCGCGGAGGGTGGGGTTGTGGAGGTGGGGGAAAGGGAGTCAGCAGCCTGATGATGACTGATACATGCCTGCCTGCAAAAGGCATGAGGATGCACAGAGGGATAAAGGGCACTTACTCTGACTCACGCATCTCACCCTCCCTCCTCTACCTTACTCTGACTCACGCATCTCACCCTTCCTCCTCTACCTTACTCTGACTCACGCATCTCACCCTCCCTCCTCTACCTTACTCTGACTCACGCATCTCACCCTCCCTCCTCTACCTTACTCTGACTCGCTTACTCTAACTCATACGTCTCTTTGCATTCCTTCCCGTTTTCTTACTTTGCCTCACGCATAACTTTCACCACCACCAGCGCCCCGCCTTTACTCGCAAGAAACGCAACAGCACTGCTGTTGCTGCTGCTGCTCCCACCGCTGCTGCTCCCGCCAACCCCAACCGGCCCTCCACTAGGCCCAGTCACAGGCTGCCACGTGGCATGGGCTGCTTCCAGCTCCACAGACAACGGCGCCTGCCCCGGCTGCTGACGTGGACGGGGGATCTTGGTGCCATCTGGCAGGGCAGGCGGCGACGAATCGTTGAGTGCCAGGTGGCAGGTGGAGGAGGAGGAGCAGAAGTGGAGGGAGTGGGGGGAGAGGACGAGGAGACCTCCAGGAGGGTAAGGGGCGGGGGAGAGCGCGTAGGAGTCAAAGGGAAGATGCTGCAAGAAGGGTGGAGAGGGAGGGGAGTGAGGGAACAATGTTTTCTTAGAATTCTCAAGAAGCAGAAGTGGAGGGAGTGGGAGGAGAGGACGAGTAGGCCCCCAGGAGGGTTAGGGGCAGGGGAGAGCATGTAGGAATCTAAGGGAAGATTCTGCAAGAAGGGTGGAGCCGGGGGGGAGGGGTGGGTGGGGGGGAGAGGAAAGAGAGGGGAGAGGGGGAGAGGTTTGGGATAGGGGGTTTAAGGAGGATTTCGGGGAAGGAAGCTGCATGGAGGATTGGGTAGGTTTTACAGGGGGGGTTGGGATGAATGGGGCCGAACCGAGCGTACCCAGAGTAACGAAGCTCACCTTTGTGGTCCCTAGGATGAGATGCGAGCGGGTATGAAGTGACACCCTCAGAAAGGTGACAGCACAGGAGAAGCGGGCCTCCAGAACAGCAGGGGATGAGCCCCCCAGCCTCCCCGACCACACACTGCCCTCCTCCCACAGGACGGCAACTATGGGATCCCCAGGCTCGGACAAGAAGACAAAATCCCGCACCTGGAGGTTCGGGAAGACATGATTCGGGAGGACATGACAGGGGAGGAGGAAGACTGAGCATACAGGAAAGGCTTCTGAGGGGGCTTTGACGGAAGCACGGGGGAGGCTAGTAAAGCGGACACATAGGAAGAGGCACAGAAAGGGTTGCATAGGAAGAGGAAAAGAAGCTGTCGCAACCCTCCCGTTTCTCATCTCCAAAGCCTTCATCAGATCCTTCGCTTTGGGTTTGCCAACCCTTCATTCGTGTACGCAGTATTGCAGAATCTCACCTTGTGTATGCAGGCTACCTGATTCTGAGTCGACTCAGGAATCTCATTTCGCGCATGCAGCAGACTTCCTACGGTCTCGCATCCACCACAACATTGCAGACCGTGGTGCAGATATCTTACCCGTGGAGATCCCAAGGGGACAATTTCTGAGGGGCCTAAAAATATTGCAGACTACCTATGGCCTCGCATGTGCGCATCCACAGCATTGCAGACTACGGTGCGGATGCGAATTCCTTACATTGGAGATCCCAGAGGGGCGCAAGTCAATGGTGAACGAGCCACCAAACCTAGGAGCTTCGCCTGCCGAGCCTCCTCGGAAAGAGGAGGACCGGTCCAAGCCTCCCTTGAAGGAAAAGAGCCGGTCCAAAGAGGTTCGGTCCGAACCAGTCTTGTTGAATGAAGCAGAACGTTGGGCTGTGGGAGACATAATGGAGTCCGGCCCTGTCTCTGTGTTGCCTGTCTGGTTGTGACCTGGCTGTTTGCGAGTGAGGAAGTGCAGGTGACAGCGGTAAACCAGCACAGCCGAGCACCTGCCCGACCAATCAGAGCGCGCGACGGGCGGGAGAGGAAAGTTTTCCCTGCCCCGCTTTCGAGCCGCCCACTCGGGCCCTTCGAGGTAGTGCAAGGAGCTGTTGGGATCACAGTGCAGGTGGGTGGATGGGTGGGTGGGGGGGTGGGTGGTTGGATGGGTGGGTGGTTGGGTGTATGCATGGGTTGGTTGAGGCGAATGAACAACACCCTGCTCTAAAAAAATTGCATGGAGTGTGTCATGACATGCCTTGGCCACTGCCCAGTGCAGGTATCCCCGCACACTCATGCCCATGCATACCCACGCACGCATGCACCATCCGCACCTGACTTTAAGCCTCTGCACCGCATCATCAAACTCAACCACGGACACTTTGGCCTCTCGAAACGTCAGCACCAACGCATCCTTGCGACCACTGTACCCCATGCCGCCACCACTGCCACTGCTATTAACAATGGCACCCTGCACCCTACCAGTAGCACCCTGCACTGTGCTCGGCTCTCCTGCCATCCCACCACCACCTCTTCCTTCTCTCTTTCCTGACTGCCGTCCCCCCCTCCCTCTCCCTCCTCTCCCGCTCCCTTCTCCCCCTGTCGCGCCTCGCCCTGCTCCTCTCCCCCCACCACCCGCGGAGTTAGACCCACCTCCCCCAGTCCCCACCCAGCCTGCTGCATCAGCTGCCGCCGCCCCTGGCACAACCGTCATGCTCTCTACCACCCCGTTCAACCTGGGGCAAAGAGGAAAAGGAGAAAAAAAATAATGATCAGAGGGGAGGGAAGGAGGAAAGGAGAGGAGGAGAAGGGCAAGGAGAAGTCAAAACTAGACCATGCTGTCCACCCACCACTCGGTTCAGCCAGGGGCAAGAGAGGAAAAGGGAGAAATGGAGCTGTTTCAGGTAGTGACTTCTGAATTGACATAACGCCACATTTTCTTGCATTTACCCCACCTGAACTCGCGTACTACTCAAGGTGCTTCCCTCGCAAATCACTTTCCTCTTGGACTTAAACCCCACCTGAACTCGCAGACAACATCCAGGGTTGCTCCGGGAAGGACGCTGCTTCCAGGATCTTTCTGACTTCCCTCGTCTCTCCCCACTTCCCCTGTCCTCTCCCCATCCTCCGCCTCCCCTTGCACCGCCTCGCTCCGCACCGAAAACACTTGCAGAACATTTCCGCGGCTGACGATCAGGTTCGGCAGAGGCTCGGCGGCCGCGGAGCGAGTAAGGAACCCCGACGCACAGCAGGTGACGCCGGTCGGCGGGTGGACAACCTTATAGGCCGCGTAACTCATAGCTGCTGCTGCTGCGACCGTTGACCAATTGGATTGTGAAAGTTCTCACTAACAGGAGGCGACGCCGGGTCGGCGGATGGACAGTTAATAGGCCGCGTAACTCATACTGAGATCACTTTATAGAATTCTCAAAAGTCACTCATGTCTGCTGCGACCGTTTGACGGGTGAACTCTAGTTTTGAGGCGCCTTAAAATATGTCTGCTGCGACCGTTTGACGGGTGAACTCTAGTTTTGAGGCGCCTTAAAATATGTCTGCTGCGACCGTTTGACGGGTGAACTGCCAACGAGACGGCGTTCCATGTAATCTCCTGTAGCAGCGACAAATGCGCACGAATCGCGTGATTTTAGGTCAAATCCACTTCAGGAATCCGCCATTCTCGTGAAATGTGATGGTCAGTCAGAATGGAGCGGGTTGCAGCCGCAATGCCGCGGTGAGTTACGACAAGCAGGCGTGAGCGCGAGGCAGCTATGCACTGGCCCTGGCTTTCCGTGATAGCAACATTCAGCTTGTGGTGCTCTTCGGTTTAGGAGCACCTCACGAGTTGGGCTGGAACAGAGAAACTAGTGTACGGTAGATATCCATCCTGAATCTAAAAATCATTTACTATATATCATCTCCATCCTTTCCAAAAAGGTTTTTGATGAAGTCAGAATCAATAGAGTTGTCAGGGGAAACACGAAGTAGCACTCACACTCAGCAATGGACACCCAAAGAGACTAAGTACCAAAGAATCTATAGGCAAGGTGAAGATATTTAAATAGGATGTCAATACTGCTCCACTAGAGCTTGTGCAACCACTGCAAAAGCAATCCGCCCAGGTGTCTGAACACTAGGGAACTCAGAAATCTATGTCAGCCCTTGAGAGACTGGAGACTTGAGAAATGACAGCCTCAAACGCCATTCCAGCACAACCCTATGGGAGTTTGACCATATCTTTAAAGTTTGAGGGTAAGATCAACCTCAGAAGCTCCTCTTGGCTTCTTGATTTCACCCATCCGTTCACCTGCTGCGTCCGCTCCATTGTCTGCCCCTTTAGCAGCCTCAAATGCAAATTCCAATGCAACGCCCTTCATCGGAACCGCTGCACCAAACCCTAACGCGGACGCTTTAGACTTCGCGGTATTCCCAAGACCCTTGGATTCATTCTGGTCAAGCAGTGTCCCAGTTCCCGCCAAAAGCTTCGCAGCTGCGTTAACAACTTCCGGGGGAGGCGCAGATCTGTGCGACCGGGGGACAGGCAGCCACGCGGAAGCTGAACCACTTCCCGCGGAACCACTGCCCCCAGCAGCAGGGGTTTCGTCTCCGTGCTCCGCCACCACGCTCGAAGCTGCTGCAACCGATTCCTTTTTAGGCTGACCCATCGAACGTTTCATCTGCCCGAGCATCCAATCGATGGCTGGAATCGCATCTGGCGAGGGCGACACTTCAGAAGTCAGCGACGATCGACCTGCAGTGCCCGGAGAAGCAGCGTCCCCATCCTTTCCGCCGTTCTCCGCCCCAGCAGCACCAGACGCTGCTGCGGGTTTCACAGCGCCGCTACTGCCCTGCTGCTCTTGCACCTGTAACAAACCGGCATCATTAGCGGCGCCGCCAGTTGCGCCGTTTGCGACGGACACAGCGGGTTTCAGAACGGAAAGTTGCGGCAAGCTCACGGACGGTGCGCGTAGCGTGCTCTCGAGCGGTTTGACCAAAGAGAAAATATTATAACCGTGAACAGGGATACCAAGGACAGGCGGCGGCGCGCTCCCCGCCGTAGCGCTGAGCGGCGTAGCTGCTGCGAACATTTGCGGCTGCATAATCTGGCTATGTTGCTGCTGCAGCTGCAGCTGTTGTTGTTGCTGCTGCTGCTGCTGCTGCTGCTGCTGCTGTTGCTGTTGCTGTTGTTGGTGCGCCGCTTCGTACATGACCTGCGAAAACGAACCTAGCGACGAACACGGCCCAGCAGCGGCGCCACTGACAGGCGCAGCCATTGCCGCAGCCGCAGCCGCAGCAGCCGCGGCCGCCGCTGCCGCAGCAGCATACGGACCACCAGAAAACATCGACGGGTGCACGGGCGTCGCGCTCAGATTCGCGCCGTACTGCATAGACACGTGCATGGGCGGAAACCCGGCGGAGGGGATGGAAGTGGCGGAGGCGGGCATACGCGGTAACAGCTGCGGCATTTTCCGTTCGGAAGCTGCATGCTGGCTCGTGGTGAGGTTGGATTGGTCCGTGGTCGTGGCTCCGCCATTACCGCCAGTACCGACAGTAACGCCAGTAGCGATTGCAGCTGTCTGTTCCCGCGGGTTACAATCCGCGGAGGTACCGCCGGCAGGAGAGGCTGCGCCAATCGCGGCGAACGCAGTTCGTGGAGCGGCAGAAGTACTTTGCGATGCCGCTGCCGCTGCTGCCGCTGCCGCGGCGGCTGCAGCGCGATCTTTCTTCGAAGGACGTCCTCTTTTCCGCGGTCGCAGCGCAAGAGCCGGGTTGCTTAACCCTTCCGGCGCATTTTCGTTCAGCCGCTTGCCTTTACTGTCAGATCCGGACGCGGCGGCAGCAGCGGCGGCTGAGGCGGAAGCCCCCGCTTCCATCAGCTGCGCCGCAGCGAGGGTATTCGTCAGGCGGAACTGCGGGAACGTGAACATGGGCGGCGACGGCTCGGCTCCGTGGAACGAGAAACACGCGGAGCCGTTGGGTGCGGGAGGCGGAAGCGCCTGGCAATGGAATGGCGAGGAGGCCCACATGGGCGCGTGGGACTGCGCTTGCGCCGCCGCAGCAGCGGCTGCAGCCGCGGAAGCGGGCCATGCGGAGGAGCCGTCCGGGGGAACGACGCTGCAGGAAGGGGTCATGGAGTGTTGCGCGGACAGCATGGGGTCGCGGTTGAGAGCGGAGACGAGGGACATGGACGCTGATGCGGTGGAGTGCGGTCGCGGTAGGTAGGAGTAGGCTGGATATGAGCAGAACTTTGTGGAGGCGAATGCAGAGGCAAATTCCGAAGATCGTTCTTTTTCCATGGCTCTAGAAGTGGAGGTAGGTCGAAAGATTCGTAATACACTGAAGCAGGAGGCAAAGCGGTTCGTCGGGTGAGTCCGAAGTGCTATGTGATGGGAACGACCGCGCGGGCTTACGTGCTCATCTCGACGCACGCCGAAATAAAGGTACCTATGCAAAACCCCTGCTGTGAAACACCCTTCAAGTCTCTAGCTGCGGGAACCCAAAGCCTGCCTATACACAGACTCTGAAACTAGCGATGCCCGTCTTGCTGACTGGGTGGGATGGAACGATGGTGGTGAGGTGAAGTGAAACTCACAACTCACTTGGGTAGGACCACTGGGGGAAAGGGTGGGGAGGGAAGGGTGTGTGTGGGGCGAACCAGAAGCAGGCATTTTTAATCCAGGGCCGAAGAGAGTGAGGTGGAAAGGACAATATCTGTTGGGTGAATCGTGGGATTTAGAGAGTGAGGTGGAAAGGACAATATCTGTTGGGTGAATCGTGGGAGTTACGCGGTTGAGAACGACGCAGCGTTCACTGTATATCCGAGGCAAGGGCTGATGGGCAGACATGGGAAAAATGATTTCCCTTTTGCAATGGTGCCAAAACGTTTGGGAAACGTACATCTACAGTTCCACTAAATTAGCAAATGTCCACGGCAAAATTCTTTCGAGTGTCAACTGGCGATAATTTTGGGGCAAGCGTACAGCTCTCCTTCAACGGGAAATTCACAGACGCGTGTCACCGAGGATAGGAGAGGTTTGACGCGGGTTCGGCTGGCACGCGAATCTTCAAGAACAAAGGTTTAAGTTGCCCTATGTACTATTTCAGTTAGCAGCAGCCAATGGATACGTACACCCAAGGCGGGAAACGCGCACAGAAAGTGGCCATATGCTGCTTTGCAATCCATGAAAAAAAAAAAGAAAAATGTACCAAACGGATGTCTGCAGCATTGCTTCATACAGCCACAAGGATACGCCACTTGATGGCGCATGGCGTCAATCTGCCACTGATTCTTGAACATCGCCTTTCATCTGAGGGCGTGGTGGTGAGCAAATGCAAGGACCCTCGATGATGACGTGGACGAACCGCAAAAGACTGCTGTGCACACGAGTTTCCATATTGTAATCATATCCATTACATCCACCATATCTGAGGCATCCGCCCACGCAAAGCACGTCAGCTACACCTAGCCCGCGCCAAATTCACTAGGGCCATTTTCACCCCCCTGTGTAATTATTTCTGATTTACCCGATATTAAAAGGCTGTTTCGAATGCTTTCGTTCTAAAGAGGGTAGGTTTCAGACATCTCTGACGAGTTAGAGGGGATGAAAAACGGGTCACAATAAACTATGGTCGAGTCGCCGTGGATGGAGTGCAGTTTTTTTAATATCTCGACACTTGGCTGAGTGGTTTGTAACCTTTAAATTCTGGGAGTTTACTGGTAAAAGCCAAAATCGGGTTCAGGGTGCTTGCCGAAACAAGTTGCAGGGCGTGAAAATAGCGCGGGCTAGGTGTACCCCAACCCCATCCATCCAACGATCGAGACTACAGTACCCAGTGCCCACAACGATTGCGGTTGCACGAATTTGAGTGCCCAAAACAAAAGATGTAGGGAAACAAGATTCAAGGAGGGGCAGCCAGCAAAGCAACCGCACCGCTCCATCATTATCCATATCCTCTGGAAGCAGCTAGAACGTCTAAAAAAATCGAATGGCCGGGCTTTCATCATTGCTGATATTCCAGCACAACAGAGTTTTGCAAATGGGAACGCAGTAATGCTGCAATTCCAACCAATTGTTTTGCGCCCCATCAGAAGACACCCTCAAAACAGGCACGCCACGTATGCACGGTACTCATTCGATACAGACATCCCAGCCTGCGCAGCCGCGGCACCCTACCAGGGTGTACTTCGACTTGCTGTTGCCAAACCATAGTTTCACGAACAGCCACGCCAATGCATAATTATGTATCCATCAATTCACACTTTCACGTTGCAGTCGCCTAATTCTTTGTTTGTGTGTGTATTTATTCTACACAGCTTTGGTTTCAGTTTGTCCACATACGATACATACATGATGTATGATTTAGAAGGCACAATCAAATGAACATTGGCCAAAGAATGGTTGGTATGGAGTAGCACTGAACTGGAGCTAGCTACTTTGTGGCATCTGGGATCCGCATTCCAGGTCCGCGCTTTCGATTGTCAAGGCTGGTAAGGGGTAGCAGGAAGAAGAGAGGACTGGGTTTTAGAGGCATGCACACGTAAAGTGTATGCGAAAATGTGCATGTGGGAAGCAAGAGAAAGAGGGCAGAGGAGCAAAACAAAAATGAAAGCAAATAAACAAACAGAAAGAAAGGAGGTTAGGAGCAGCACAATGGAGCATTGTACTATTGGAATCTCGACCAAACCCAGTATGGGGCAAGCTTTCCCACTCACGATGACGCGAGCTTCCCAAGGCTGACCAGGAACTCCCCACTGAGACCGTCAAACACATTCCCATTCGCGTCCACCCTGCCCTCCACCCTACGCGCCATGCACATCACAAGTCAAGTACACTCTACCCACTCACGATGGGGCCAGCTTCCCAAGGTGGACCAGGAACTCGCCACTGAGACCATTAAACACATTCCCGTTCGCCTCCACCCGATACGCCATGCATTCTTGGAACCACCCTCAACCCCTCCCCACCCACTCACACCTCCCAACACATCCCACCCAAACATTCCCAACCCAAGCATCCAGCCTTCCCACTCACGATGGGGCCAGCTTCCCAAGGTTGACCAGGAACTCGCCACTGAGGCCGTCAAACACATTCCCGTTCGCCTCCACCCGATACGCCATGTTATCTGTGAGCGGCAGCCCCCTCTTCACGAGTCGGTCCAGGTCCTTGCGGTGAAGCTCCCTTGCATTCACATACACCTTGGTTTCGCCCCCAGAGCAGTTCCTTGGAAGGGCGGGGCCGAGCTCAATCCCAGGCTGGTGAGGGTTTTAGAGTGGTGGGGAGGGAGAGGAGAGTGGTAAGGAGGAGCGAGAGAAAGGGCATAAATGTGTCTGTCTATTGGCAGCATCCCCTTCCTCCCTAGTCTGTCCAGGTCCTTGCGGGGAAGCTCCCTCGCATTCACATACACCTTGGTGTCGCCCCCAGAGCAGTTCCTTGGAAGGGCGGGGCCGAGCCGAGCTCGATGCCAGGCTGTAGAGGGAAAGAAGGGAGAGTGGAACTGAGATGAATTCCAAAAAAAATCTGCAGCTCCCCCCTAGCATCACGAAAACCACTGGAGTGATCTCGCAAAAAAAAAAAAAAAGATGCAGGAGCCGCCTCAAGAACCACCAGTATTCACCATGTGACAGGGTCAAAGTATGCTGAGCAAAAGGGAAGAGGCGTACACAACACGAGTCACTTGCTAGGGAATACCTGCCCGGACTTGTGTTGGGATTACGGGTCACAATGTGTACAGCAGCAGCCAACTCACCGGAATCATTCCGAGGCAGGGCCCTCCCATTTGGCCCCAGAAACCTGCCACTTGGTCGTACCTGCAAGGGAGAATTGGTGACACGGATGGGTGGGAACACAGCGAAACCGAAAATTGCAAATAATAAGTGGAATGAACCGACCGAAATCGATAAAAGGGCACCGTATCTCATCTCTAGTGCATAGAGAAGAAAGTGACGACAGCATTAAGCACAAGAATGTCTTTGGATTTGAACGAGGTGACTTTTGAGTCGACTCATAAGTCACCACCAGAACGTCTTTGAATTTGGACGACTAGGCGCGATGTGACTCAACTCGGGAAAATACGTCAGGTACATAGCATCTCATTGACTCGCGCGCGCCTCCCCACAATTTCCAGACTGGATGGGCCCTGCGCGTTTCGAGGCTGCTCAAAATTTGATGTGACTCAACTCGGGGGAATATGGGAGGGAAATAGCATCTCATTGACTCGCACACGCGCTTACCAGTAATTGCCAGGCTGGATGGGCCCTGCGCGTTTCGAGGCGCCTCAAAACCCGATGTGACTCAACTCGGGGGAATATGGGAGGGGGATAGCATCTCATTGACTCGCACACGCGCTTACTGACTGGATGGGATGGGACTGTGATCTTACCAGTAATTGCCAGACTGGATGGGCCCTGCGCGTTCCTCCGCAGCTGCCACGTGGTCATCACTGATTGGCTCCCCGTTCACCACCACACAGCGCGAGTACGTCAGCCTCCCGTCCCCACTCCCTCCCCCAGCACCCCCCCCAGCAGAACCCACCTTATTCCCTGGACTACCCATCCCACCACCACCTGCAAGACTCGTCCCAGAGCCCACTCTAAACATGCCACTTGCGCTAATCGCTCTGGCTTCACCCCGTTTGCTTCCAGCCTTTACAGGTGACATCCCAGCTAGAGACTCATTGTCAGAAGAGTCTCTTACCGAGCCTACAGGGGACGGCATTCCAGAGCTAATGCTCCTAAGCGACTCAGAGCTCCCAATCCTAGTTATCCTCCCCCGACCATCCGTGCCTGTTGCCGAACCTGCTCCCGAGCCTGTTCTTGGACCTGTTCCGGAGCCTGCTTCCGTCCTGCCCGGACCCAAACCTGATTTGAGAGGCTTGGAGGGACTAGGGCTGGCGCCCCTGCTGCTCCTCCCTCTGCCCAAACCTGCTGCAGCACCAGACCCTTTAAGAGCAGCCCCGTTAGTGGCAGCCCCAGGACTTTGTACAGTGGCTGCTGTTCCATCACTAGAGGAGGTCTTGGATTCAGTGCTGTCAGTGGAAGAAGAGCGAGTGCAGGGGTACTGTTTCGTGGCATCAATGGCAGAGAGAGAAGAAGAACGGACATGCTGCTGAGTAACCTGCTGCTGTTGCTGCTGAAACGGCTGCTGCTGGGGCTGCTGCGGCTGCTGCTGCTGCTGCTGCGGCTGCTGCGGCTGCTGCGGCTGCTGCTGCTGCTGCTGCTGCTGCGGCTGCTGTGGCTGCTGCTGCTGCTGCTGCAAGTGGGGCATGTGTGGGGTGAAGGCTCGGAACCGCGAGAGACCAATGCACTTGCCGCACCGCAGCTTGTGAATGCCCTTCTTGGTGGGTGGGAGGATGGCCGGAATCTCCAGAAGCTGTCCGCAGTGCTGGCACTGAGAGATGAAGGCAGGAGAAAGACGGGAGAATTGGCAGGAAAGGAGAAAAGAAGAAGGGAGAAACGTTCCCAGAGATGACTAGAACGAAACGGGAAATGTGCTCATTGCTGTCTCGTATATAGAAGTCCATTTTTCACTCAACATTCTAACGAGCTGACTTTTGCGTCGACTCAAAAGTCAGAACTGGAAATGTGCTCGTTGCTGTCTCGTAGATAGAAGTCCATTTGTCACTCAACATTCTAAGAGGCATTGTTTACAAATTGATTTGCCTTGATTCCTATTTTTTTTTCAACCGAAACTTTGAAAGCTGTGTCTAAGAGATTGCAAACATAAAGCTCCAAGCGCCTGTTTTTTTTTTTGCTAACACAACCTTTGCAGACAAAAACGAAGCTTACACTAACAAGCTCACATAAGCTTCGCATTCCGCCTAAACCCATGACCTTATCTCAACAAGCAAGTCCTGTTCGTCACAACAACCACCAAAGAACTCTTCCAAGTGCCATTTATTTATTGTTGACCAACCAAGCCAGCTAAACACGTTCCCTTCTCTGGCGTGAAATCGTTTCCTCACTGCCTTGCATAATTTATTGTCCTGGCAATGATATGATATTAAAATATTTCAACAAACTCCAATCAACTCCCCCTCTTTCTGAACCACCCCAACCAATCCCTAACCATCCCCATCAATCCTTCACTGAAGCAATTCAAACATTTCCCAACCATCACACCTCAACCATCTGAGGCTTCAAAAACCATACCAGTCCCATCGCCCCACCTGCACAATTCGAGGCCTTAAAAGCCATACCATGCCCATCATCTCACGCTCACCTGCACAACCTGAGGCCCTAAAAACCATACCATCTCCATCACCTCATCATACCAGTCGCCTCACCTGCACGACTTGAGGCAATCCCGGTGCTGGCAGCATCGGCAGATCCGCCGCCTCCCCCTCCCCCGCTTCCCCAACCTGCGCCAGCTGGGGAAACCCCGCACGGGTGGGGGACACCAATGCCCCCGCGCCAGAGGTGTTCCCCCTAAGCGCGTTCCCCCCAGGCGCGCTTCCTCCGAGTCCCTCCATCCGCGGAATGGCGGACACGGTCCGCGCAGGGCGCCCGACTCCCCCTCCCCCTCCCGCCTTTGAGCTTAAACCTGCTGCCAAACCTGTTCCCGAACCTGTTCCCGAGCCTGTCTTCGAGGCTGCACCAGCTGCCGAGCCTCGTGGCTGGACTGGTGAGTATTGAGGAATAGCAGGCCTCGGACCCAACGGCTGCACCAGCACTCTTCCGTTACTATCCATAGTAGGAGTTGATATACCTCCCACACCCGCCCCTTGCATACTAAACACCTTAGGGTCTACAGCCTTTTGACCTCCCAGATTAAGAGCACGCACCCCGCCGCCCGCCCGCCCTCTATACCCCGTTGTAGTCACGGCCTTGGTAAAATTTCCCGCGTTACCCTCACCCCCTGCCGCTTTCCCATGGGGGCTCGGGCTCTTCGCGCTGCCTGCTAACCCTTCGCCTTGTAACGCGGATTTCTGCAAGGTAGCGGGTGGGACCTGGCCGCTGATTGCTCGCCTTAATCCTTGTGACTGCGCTCCTGCTACCGCCGCTCCCGCTCCCGCTCCCGCTCCCGCTCCCGCTCCCGCTCCTGCTACCGCTCCTGCTCCCGCTCCTGTTACCGCTCCCCTTCCTGCTACTGCTCCTGTGATCTTTGCTCCTGTATTTCCTCCTCCTTCTTTCGCCGCAGCTGCTGCTGCTGCCAGTGCCGCCACACCCACCGCCCCTCGTTGCTGCTGTGCCTGCGGCCGTCGCTGCTGCCCTTGCTGCGCGGACCTCTTTCGCACGTCCAATTCGCCAAGCGTCACAGCTCGCGAATACTTTTCGCCCGGTTCGCTGCCCGTCTGCCTGTTCGCGAGTCCGTGGTTTCTACCAGCCCCGATATTAACAGACCCGACACCAGCGGCGCCAGAAGAAGCACCATTTCCAGCCGCAGTAACGGTGCCACCAACGCTAACGCCGCTGCCAGCGGTAGCGCCGCGTCCCGGAACTGCAGTGCTATTAGAAGCCAAAGTAAGGGCTTTAAGACCGATCGCGGCGACTGGCCCGCGAGCGGGTTTCACGGGGGAATTTTGAAACCTGGGCTTGCAACCCAGCGTCATCGACCGTCCAAATTTATCCGCCTCGTTTTCCGGCTCGTCTTCGTCGTCATCACTGTCGTCTTCGTCATCGTCATCGTCATCGTCTTCGTCATCGTCATCGTCTCCGTCATCGTTTCCGTCATCGTCATCGTGTGACTGCGGACGCTGTGATTTTAGCGGAGGGATCCCGTCCTGCCCCCGCTGTAGGCCCAGCATGGACGGCGTGAACCCTTGATGCATTGCGAGAGCAGTCTTTCCGTCTAGAAGCGACACCGTGCGACTGATATGCGACGGCAAGTGCGACGGCTGCTGCGACTGTTGCTGCGACTGTTGCTGCGACTGCTGTTGCTGCTGCTGTTGCTGCAGTAGCAACTGTTGCTTCCCAACGGCGGTTGACCGTTGGACGAACAGCGATTGCACTCGATTGTACCCGCCAATCGCGGCCGACGAATCATCTATGTCCGCACTCGCTGATCGACCTTTCCTTCCTGGAGAGTTCCCTTTATAGCCTCCAAGACCGCTGTTGACGATGCCGGAAGTCGCACGGAAGAGTCGCGCGTGCTCCGGCGACACGTCTAGGAGCGACGTGCGACGAGAAATAGTCGGCTCTCGGCCGTACGTAGGCTCGTCAGGGGCGCTGCTCGCGATTTGCGTTGATCCCTGAGGGAAGCTCATCCTGTTTCTAGCACGAAAATGGCTTCTGTGTGTGAACTGTGTTCGCTTCTTATAGATTGCTGATCAAAACAGTGATTAGACAACGATGCTGGTTACTGAGAGGAGCAAAAAAGTTGGGGCCTTGACAAACTGAATCACAGTCAAATGCACATGCTGTCATAACACTTCATCATAAGTTACGCTACATCACACGGAACTAGCAATGGCGCCTAGAAGTGACAAGCACCAGAGACAAGACCAGGTCGCTATGGGAAGCCAGTCGCGGACTAAGGGCCTGGAACCTCCAACTAATTGGACTGGTAAAATGACTCGAAACGAGAATCGCCTTCGACCTAATGTGTTGGATTTCGCAAGCGTATAACATCTTTGATTGACGCGTTTCCCCATAGTAGCAGCCTTTCTCCAAGAGGCAGTTGGCTGGCTGCTGTAATATCGGAATGCGCAAGAAAAGGCCGAGCAGGAACAGAGGGCATGTGTTGTGCTGTGGACATGTGTGACGGCGGTGGTTATGGCAGCGACAGGGTGTGAGATGGCAATGGCGGATGTGACGGGAGAGGTGAGTGGGGTGGGTGGTGTGGTGGTAGTTAATGCGTGCCCTTGAAGCTGGTTCGTATCTCTCTACCATTTATAACCGTACTAGAAGAACATATAAACGCTTGACAACGTTAAAAACCTCCATAAATCACACGCGTTTGAGAGACACTCCCGTACTGTCCTCGGCAGAATTGAGGGAGGTTGGAGCAGGTGACCACAGGGGGCACCACCCACGCACTTCCTGCCCCCCACCAAACCAGCCTACACACACGCGGACATACTGTTTGATTACACGTGGCGGAATCGAAGCAGGTTTGTCTTGTCGCCCACGCACAGCACCACCATTGGTTGCGAATATGTAGCCAATACCTCGATAGAGTTCTGTAACGCATATTCTACCACTGATTCCAAACAAAAAATGCTCCTCTTCTCTCATGCCGAGAGCTGGGCAAATTTTTGGTTTTGATCAACCCTTACGGTCAGTGTTGCACGTGTTCAAAAACCTGATTATCAGTGTGCCCTTTTGAAAAAACTTTTCCACCAGGGTTTTTGCTTGTTCAAAAAAATCTACCCTGTGGCATCAGTATACCATTTTTACAAACCCTTTTGAATTGTTATTATCACAGCGCACAATAAGATTGCTCGTGGTCACTTCTTGCCAGCACATGTATTGTCGTGGCCTAGAATTCAACTTCGACAGTTGTCAATCGAAAATCCCGGATTACGGGTATGGGGGGTTAGTGGAAGGGGAAGAGAGGAGGGAGGGGGGGGAGGGGTGCGGGGGTCGTGTGGTACTCGCTTCAAGGCAAAACTCGCTAACAGGGTCGGTAACCCTGAGGAGACAGTGTGCCTTAATCGTAAACCCTGGCATATCAGGAAAGACCTAGCTCGATAAAAAAAATCACCCTAAGCCATCAGAGTTACTACAGAAAACCACCCTGCTAATCAGGGTATCAGGGTGATTTACACTGATAAAATTAGCCCTGGCCGAGAGGCAGCAGATAGGAGGGCTGGCGGGGGGGCAGCAACCCATAAAATTAGCCCTGGCCGAGAGGCAGCAGATAGGAGGGCTGGCAGGGGGGCAGCAACCCGTGGGGCTGAGAGGGGGGAAGCAACCAGGGGGGCCGACAGGGAGGCAGCACTAGCGGGGTTGAGGGGGAGGGCGCAACCAGAGGGGTCGAGGGGAAATGCACGGCCAACGAGGCTGTCCGAAGGGTAATAGCGAGTGGGTCAAATTGTAGGGTAGCAATCCGCGGAACTGCAGGAGGGGGAGAAGCCAAGGGGGTTGGCCAGGGGGCAGCAGATTGTAGGCTAGCTAGGGGCAACTGTCAGAATCACTGTCGCTAGACCACCGGGATAAAAGGGCTTGTTCCCAACTCGGTCAGTGCGCGCAAACCCTCCCAGTCTAACATGCATGTAATTCCTCTAGGATAGATCGGGGATCTCCTGTGCAAGTCTTTTGCTCTGATACTATGTCAGAATCTCAGTCACTAGACCACTGGGATAAAAGGGCTTGTTCCAATGCGGGTCAGTGCGGCCAAACGCCTATGCTAACTTCCTTCAGGATCGATCGAGGACCCCCTGTGCAGGTCTTCTGACAGCAAAAACCACCGGTGCTGCTACATGGCTGCAGCTTGTAGGCCCGGCTGGTGTGCAGCACCCAGCGAGGCTTACTGGAAGGCAATAGCTTGCTTGGCTGACTGGGGGGAATCTTCAGCAGGGTCGATTATAGGGCAGCAGGCACGCCCTACGTTTACATTCCCCCCCCATCCCCCCCCTCCCCCCCCCCCCCCCCCCCCCCCCCACCCCACCCACCCACCCACCCACCCCACCTCTGCCCTTGCCATATCCTACGCGAAACTTGATATCGCACGTTTACAAACAGGGTATGAGCTTTATGCCACATATCGGTCTGCAGGGCAACGAATGTGCAACACCGTGCTCAGGCTCTCGGGTTAACCCGCGACATACCAGAATACTCGTGTGGCGGTCGTCTGCCACCATGATAAATTGTCGAGGAGGTGTGGGCCCGCGGTTCCTACATGGGACTGGGAATGGTTTTTTTACATCGATTTGGTGTCAGCAATACTTATGTGCCGCATCCCGTAGCTTGCTCGTCTGGAGATGATTGACCCACTTTGTTGCGTCCTCAAGCGGATTCAATCGAACGCAACTATTGAAGCAGCAACATCATTCTTTTTTTCCTTCCATTTACTTATATTAGAGATTCCAACTGGGTAAAGCCAAGGGTAGAGAGCAACAATCAGAGAATTGTTGGAGAAGTTTTGGGGAGGGGAGTGGCAAGAAACTGTTAGAGACGATGACGGATGCAATGATACTAGCGGCACATCCTTTGGCCTTCACCCCTTCCGAGTATGACCCAGACGCAGCGCGCTTGGCTCATTGCCACACGAGATGCAAGGTGCGGGAATGGAATAGAGACCTAATGTGACTTATTGCCGACAGCATCCCACAACCATCTCGGCTCATTGTTGACTCGCTATGCGCCAAACACATATCAAGTGAGACGGCCATTCATGAGTGTGGATGATATAGCAATCGAGTAGTCTCTTGTTCCCCAACTCTTAGCAGAGGTGCTGGGTGGCAGAGGTCCACTGGAGATCCCCGATTGATCCTAGGGAAGGGTTACAGGCACGTCGGCCTGGGGGGTTATGGGCACACTCACCCGCTACACAAACAAGCCCTTTTATCCCAGTGGTATAGTAGCTGGGATTCTAACATGGTATTAGAGCGAAAGTCTTGGGTTCGAATCCCGGTGTGTGCACTTCGGGCATCCCAGTGCGGGGGGGTGTCAGAGGTCCATTGGAGTTCCCGATTGATCCTAGGGAAGGGTTACATCACGTCGGTCTGGGGGGTTATGGGCGCACTCACTCGCTACACATACAGGCCCTTGTATTTCAGTGATCTAGTAGCTGGGATTTTGACACTGGGCCAGGCGATTCACTCGGTGGCTAGGACGTCCGAACAAGGACCATCGGCTTGAATGACAGAGCATCCGCATAACACTTCCCTCTCCGAGCCCACATACTTGCCGCACATAACGGGGGTCTTCACACGGTGGACCAATGGGGAGATAGAAGAGCGCTTGCGAACTTGGCTCATTACAACCAACTTGGTAGGACCATCAAACCCGAATGGTGACATCCGCCTAATGGCTATAGGAGAGTGCGACCTTGCATCTTGGCTAGAGCTCTTCGTATTGTGCTTCGCTCTTCTATGGTGTTGCAATTTTTTCCGCATAATCAACTGAGAGTCGTGTCCAGGTTGGGAGTGAAAGTCCTAGAACACACCTTTAGCTCCGCTATCTCTACCCCTCATATGGTGAATGCTTGGTGAGATAGGATATCCCTAAACTCATTAGAGGGTGTGGGCGTTCTGGTTTTGTGACGGACCGCTTTGCAAACAGATTATATCGCATTCCCAAAAAGCAGTTGAGCCGCTCTGAAACACATACCAACTCTCTCCACCGCACTCAAAACGTATTGTTCGACTCCCCTGGAAGTCATATCAGTGGATATTCTCAAGATAGGAACTGGACTGAAGTTGTGAACTCGATCTTGGTCTCAAGGCGGTTTGTTAGGTGACGGGTAGAGTTGGCATTTTGGCTGCTCCGTCAAGGCCGCGTACCATGTTGCGCGTCGTATCTCAGCAGATTTAATATCCTAGTTATTTTTCACTTACACCTTGCGCGCTAGTTTCGTGCAAGCAAGTGACGCGCAGTCGCAATGGTAGGGCCGCAGACATCGACGGCAGAGAGGACCGGCCGATCGAATTCCAATCCGATGGCTGAGAAAACGCACGGAGGTCCGGCTGGTCGATCCCTGACTGTCGATGCGATCCAGCGTGACCGTTTGATGAAGATCGCAGCCGTCAACTGGTTAAAATCCGAAAGCTCGCTTCCCCATTCACGCGTACTTGCGACTGACAAATCAGGAGACGGCATTCTCGGGAAAACTCCGAAGCCTGCTAGTGCGATCCGGTTCAATCCGGATCTGGTTCGGAAAATCTACCGGGAGGATCTGAAAGTGACACGTGGCAGGAAACCCGTGCCGCTGCAGCGCGTGATGGTGTTGGAAGTGAGCCAGTATCTGGAAAAATACCTATGGCCGAATTTCGAACCGGAAACCGCGTCCGTGGAGCACGTGATGTCTATCATTCTCATGGTCAATGAAAAGGTGCAGAATTTTGTGTATTTTTTTCCTTCAGTATTTGTCTGTTGCGTCGGTTATCCGTCTGTTATGAAGGTTGCATTCTCACTTAGTGCAGTCTTCGCGTAATTGTTTTACAGCGCGCAGTTTAATGATTGGCTTATGAGTTGCCGGTAATAATGAAAGTCATTGCTGCTATCGCTTGTGCATGTTAAGCCTTAGCCCTAATTTCTGCTGATGAACCTCACCTTCCCTGACGCGGAAACCTGATTTTGAATTAGAATCTCTATCTCACCCTAGACTTCCTGCTATCATATATCCACCCACCCTTTCCACTCCAAATTCTGAGGGTGTTATCCCCTTTCCTATCTGTGCATTTCTTTCTAATATTGTTGTCGCCTGTTTAGTTCCGTGAGAATGTCTCCGCATGGGACTGCTTCCAGTCTCGCGCTGACGTCTTCCCTGCATTCTTCAACCGAGTCCTTGCTCTCAAGGTAAATTGCAGCAATGCTGCCATCATTTCCCCTCCTATTGCCCACGTTGTTCAGTTTTTTCTGACCGTTACGCGTCCTTCTGCACGAATTTTTCTCCTCCCCCCACGCGCTTTCTCGTGTGGGATGGAACCTCTGCTTGTCGCACACCATCATTCATTATCTTATCTCGGTCGGTGCCCATTTGTTTCTTCCCAGGACCCCAAGCGGAAAGCAGGGAGCAAGCGAGCTCGGCAGGAGGAGCAGGAGGAGGAGGAGCAGCAGAAGCAGCAGGAAGAGCAGCAGCAGGGAGAGCAGGAGCAGGAGCAGCAGAAGCAGCAGGAAGAGCAGCAGCAGGGAGAGCAGGAGCAGGAGCAGCAGGAGGAGCAAGGGGAGCAGGGAGAGCAGCAGCGGATGTCTGTCGAGGGAGAGCAAGCTCAGGCGGAGGATGGAGCAAACAAAGAAGCCGCCGTGGAGGGCGACGGGGCAGAGGGGGAGGGCGGAGAACCAAAGGAAGGCGCACGCACAGCACAAGGGGAGGCTGGGGGAGGGGGAGGGGGAGAGGAAGGGGAAGGGGGTGCTAGAGATGGGAGTGAGGTGAAAGGGCAGGGGAAGGGTGGATCGGTTGCTGGCAGAGGAGAGGGGGAGTACGACCTGAGCATATACGAGCGCGTGAACTACATCGTTTTCATCATCCACTGCTTCCAGGTGAGGTGTTCCCTTAGCCGACTGAAAAGAGGAGCTGGGATGGGTAGGGGAGAGGGGGAGTTCGAGTTGAGCATGTATGAGCGCGTGAACTACATCCGTCTTTATCATCCACTGCTTCCAGGTGCACCCCCCTACTGCTTTGCAACGCCCGTATCCCTCTGTGACAGCCCCTCGCCTACCGGCAGGGACCCCTTTGCTTTACGGTTCACAATACCATTCTCCATCCGCATCTCCTTCCCCCCGACTACACCCCCCTTCTCTTCTCCCACCACCTACTCCCTCAGTCGCTGGAGAACCCACTGGTGCGGGCGTGTGTGCTGCCGCTCGTCTCTCTCCCCCTGTGGCACGCGCTCTCACCGGCCCGCAGGGAGCGCGCTGCTTTGCCCCACGCTTGACAATGCCATTTCCTATCCACATCTCCCCTCCCTCCACCCCCCCAGTCGCTGGAGAACCCGTTGGTGCGGGCGTGTGTGCTGCCGCTGGTCTCTCTCCCCCTGTGGCACGCGCTCTCACCGGCCCGCAGGGCGAGGTGTTGATTTCCATTGTTCACAATACCATTCTCTATCCGCATTGCCTTCCCGCCCTCCTCCCATTCCCCCAGTCGCTGGAGAATCCACTGGTGCGGGCGTGTGTGCTGCCGCTGGTGTCTCTCCCGCTGTGGCACGCGCTCTCACCGGCCCGCAGGGAGCGGGAGCTGCACCCCCACGCGCACCTGCTCGCCCTCTGGACGCGCCTGCTCAAGAGGGACGCCAAGAGCCGCGCTGCCAGGCTGGCGGCTGTGGCGTCTCTTCCCCTTCTCTTGTTCCTCAAACCCCTTGCCTGCTTCCCCTCCTTCCCTCTTGCACCCCCCCGCTCTCCCCTTTCTCATTCCCCCATCCACTCCTACAGTCACTGGAGAATCCACTGGTGCGGGCGTGTGTGCTGCCGCTGGTGTCTCTCCCGCTGTGGCACGCGCTCTCACCGGCCCGCAGGGAGCGGGAGCTGCACCCCCACGCGCACCTGCTCGCCCTCTGGACGCGCCTGCTCAAGCGCGACGCCAAGAACCGCGCTGCCAGGCTGGCTGCTGTGGCTGAGGGCGGGGAGAAAAGGGCTGAGGCCGAGGCGGCTGAGAGGAAGGAGAGGCGCGGGGTTCGATTCCTGCCTGGGCTGATTCTGGAGTTCTTTTCTGTGAGTGCTGCGCTCTGTGTGGGCTGTGCTGTAAGGTTGCTCTGTCTCCGTCTTCCTGTCTGTCTCTGCTGCTGTGTGCGTCAACGCCTGAATGCCTCAGTGGCGCACAGGTGTTCACCGTCGTGGTGGAGAAGGGGCGTGATTGTATATGTATCTGTCCCTGCTTCGGTGTGCTTCTGTGCTGTGCTGTGTGCTGCTGTGTGCCTCCCTGTATGCCCGAATGCCTCACCACCTGTCTGCCAGGTGTTAGACGAGGTGGTGGAGAAGGGACCAGACTACGAGGACGACCACAGCGAGTCTGCTGGGGTGCTGCTAGAGAAAGTGAAAGAGAATTTATTCCCCATCTGTCTCTTCTTCTGTGTACTGCTGTGCTCCTCAATGCATCACAGGTGTTGGACGAGGTGGTGGAGAAGGGACCAGACTACGAGGACGACCAGAGCGAGTCTGCTGGGGTGCTGCTCGAGAGGGCAGTGGACCAGCCGCGGCTGCTCTTCTGTGAGCGATTCCTGGAGCTGCTGATTGATCTCCTCAGCCAGCTGCCCACACGCAGGTACATATGTGTGCCTGCATGTATGTGTGCATGTGTGCCTGCATGTATGTGTGCATGTGTGTTAGCATGTGCCTAATATTTCCCTCTTCCACCAGCAGCGGCTGCTCTTCTGCGAGCGATTCTTCGAGCTGCTGATTGACCTGCTCAGCCAGCTGCCCTCACGCAGGTACATATGTGTGCACGCATGCGCGCCTCACAACTGCTTTGACCTTTCTTTGTTGGTCACATTGGGCTGTATCCCCCCCTTGCGACCAGCCGCGTCTGGTCTTCCTTCCCCCTTTACCCTTTTCTCTTGTATCTTCCCCAACCATTCTTCCGTCTCTCCTCTGTCGGTTCCCATCGCCACATCCCCATTGTCCCCCTACATACAATCAGGTTCTTTCGTCCTGTAGTGGATGACATGGCGGTCGCCGCCCGCTGCCGCTTCAGCCGCCTGTACCGGCACCCGCGCGGCCGTCATTTTGTGCAGCTGGTGGATCTGCTGCGATTCTACGCTAGATTCCAAATGGATGACCACGCCGGGCGGCAACTGGACGAGGAGGAGGTGGACAGGGAACACTGCGCTCGCGTGTCTGCCCTCCAGTTGTTCCTATTCAACAAAGTGCCGGAGGTGAGGGTTACATGAGACACAGTGTTATTCACAGCAACTGGACGAGGAGGAGGTGGACAGGGAGCACTGCGCTCGAGTGTCGGCGCTTCAGTTGTTCCTGTTCAACAAAGTACCAGAGGTGGGTGTGTCACAGAGTGTCAAAAATGTGTGGGATCATATGTACGTAGCTGATTAAGTGGACGAGGAGGAGGCGGCCAGGGAGCACTGCGCTCGAGTTTCAGCTTTTCAGCTGTTTCTATTCAACAAAGTGCCAGAGGTGAGGGACACATGAGGCATGGAGTTACACTTACCAACGCAGCTTTTCAAATTCAACAAAATACCACTGAAAAGCTGGCGGGAGGTGAGGGTAAACCTTCCGGGGGTGGCTGGTGGTGAGGGTTTGCGGGAGTCCACAGTCCGCCCTTCAACTGTTCTTAATTCAGCAAAGAGCCAGAGGCGGGTAGCATGGAGCGCGCTGGTGGCACACGCAAGTGGCTTACTATTTGCCTGTTCCCTTCTTCCCGCCCCCCTCCCGCCCCCCTTGCTCACCCCACACTCCCTCAGCTTCGTGACATCGCGCTGACCAACGTGGGCAGCATCGAGCATGCTGACGGAGTGCGCAAGTGGATGGGGCGACTCACAGACGAGCAGCTGGCAGAGCTTGTGCTCAACAAGGTAACAAGGGAAGGGGTATGGATGTTGGAGCCACATGCCAGTAAGGTTAGTATAACTTGCTATAATGGATCAAACCACTGTGGGATTAGTGGACGCCGTAGGTTCGAGTGTGTGAAGTCGAGAAAGCTGTCCCTGGTTAAACGAAGATGATATGTAAAGCTTGGTGCGTTGTTCTCTCCTGCCTCTTCTCTCCCCTCTTCGATAACCCCGTCTCCCCCTTGCATCGCCATGCAGCTGAAGCTGCTGTCTCGAGCAGGCCTGCCGTACCGCCCGCCACGCCACCTCCTCTCCTCCGCTCACCGCCCCAAAGCCCCCACACGAATGGTGGTGGAGGAAGGATCAGAGGAGCAGCAGCAGCAGCAGGAGGAGGAGGAGGAGGAGGAGGCAGAGCAGGAGGAGTACTGGGCGCAGCAGCGGGCAGTGCTTTTCCACCGTCTCCGCCCGTTCCTAGAGGAAGTAGTCGTTTCCTTCTTCGAGAAGAAACGCTCCCAGCGAGCAGCACTCAACGCGCTGCCGCTCTACCCCAACGAGGACGTCATGTGGGACGAAAGCCTCATCCCAAGCGTGAACTACACGGGGGAGGGCTGCCTCGCTCTGCCGAAACTCAACCTGCAGTTCCTCACTCTGCACGATTATCTCCTGCGGAATTTCAACCTGTTTCGGCTCGAGTCGACGTATGAGATCCGGGAGGAGGTGCATGATGTGCTAAAGAGGATGGGCGCGAAGGGGAGCATGTACAGCAGCGTGGATAGGGATACGGAGTTCACTGGGTGGGCTAGAATGGCGATTCAAATCTCGTCTTTCCGGATTGTGGAGGTTAAGGCGCCGCTGCTAGGCGAGGTGCAGCCCGCGGCGGTTCTAGCGGAAGTGGAGTACTCTATAGCGGGGTATAAGGCGGCCATGCGGAGCGAGTGGGAGGAGATCAAAGAGCATGACGTGCTTTTCCTCCTGGCCATTCACCCGGATGAGATTGCGCTGCAAGCTGCGGCTGATGCGGCCGCAGCACAGGCTGCGGCGCAGGCAAAGAGGGAGGCAGGAGAGGATGGGGCGGAGGAGGAAGAAGCAGCGGCAGATGCGGCTGCAGTGGTTTCGTCTCTGTCTGTCCCTCAGAGGTACGGGCTGCGATACGTGCGGGGGTGCGAGGTGATTGAGTTAAGAGATGAGGATAACAAGCTGATGAACGACTTTTCGGGGCGGGTGAAGCGCGAGGAGTGGAAGCCGCCGAAAGGGAACAAACGCACAGCTCTTGTCGCTCTCGATCCAGCCCAGTTCCAGCTAGATCTAGAGGCCAATGGAGGGACGCTGAGAGGCGCGCAGGAGGAGGTTTACTCGGCTCTCAACGTGGTAATGAGGAGGAAGCCAAAAGAGAATAACTTCAAGCCGATTCTGGAGTCGATTCGGGACCTGATGAACGAGGAGGCGTCGGTGCCTGGTTGGCTGCATGACCTGTTTTTAGGGTACGATGACCCGGCGGCCGCCAGCTGGCGCCGCATGCCTGCTGAGCTGGCGCCGTGGCGGGTTGAGGTGGTGGATTTTAGAGACACGTTTGTGGATGCGGAGCATTTGAGGGAGTGCTTTTCTCATCTGTATCCGGGCTTTAAGGTGCGGTTTGTTGATGCGGATGGGTTTGAGAACCCTAACCCCCAGCCTCCCTTCCGCGTGACTATTCCCATGACTAAGCAGTCCCAAGAGGAGGGGCATGGGGTGGCGGTGGGAGGGAAGAAGAAGGGGCAGGAGAAGGAGGGGAAGGGTAAGGGGAAGGGGAAGAAGGGGGTGAAAGGGAAGAAGAAGGGGAAGGGGAAGGGAGGGGAGGAGGAGAAGGGTGGGGAGAAGCAGGAGGGGGAGCAGATGGAGGTGGATGGGGAAAAAGCAAAGGGACGAGATGGGGGAGAAGAGGCTCCTCAGCAGCAGGAACAGGGAGAGCAGGGAGAGAAGGGCGGTCAGGGGGGGCAGGGGGAGCAGCAGGACGAGGGGAGAAAGGGGGAGGAGGGTGAGGGGGTGGTGATAGCAGAGTCGGTGCCGCTGCCTGACCCTGGGCCTTACCCTCCCGCGAATCAGAGGAAGAACCACGTCCGTTTCACGCCCACCCAGGTACCGTACTCTCCTCTGGCTTTTGAGAATTCTCAGAAACCACCAGGCACCGTACTCTCCTCTCTGCTCTTGCTTGGTTCCCTTTCTGTGTGTTCACCTTGGCTCACCTCGTCTTTCATCTCTTTCCACCGTCCCTCACCCCTCCCCATCGCCTCTCACCACTCTCCACCCACTTTCTGTTCCCAGGTGGATGCCATCATCAGTGGAGTGCAGCCGGGGCTGACCATGATAGTGGGGCCGCCAGGAACCGGCAAGACTGACACGGCTGTGCAGATCCTGCAGGTGAGTGATTTGTCTGAGGTACAATGCGGTGCACTGCAGTGCAGTACAGTGCAGCACACAACTGCTCAGCTCTCGCAGTTGTCCTCGTCCTGTAGTACAACTGGCCTGAGTAGCGCACGCTCGTCATAACTCGTGCCAGTATCTCATCTCATGCTGCACTCCCTATCCCTGACTCCTCCTGACTCCTCTCCCCTGCTCCCTCCCCCCCCAACCCCCACCCCCCACCCCCTCCCCCACCCTCTCCCCGTCCCACCAGGTGCTCTACCACAACTGCCCGGAGCAGCGCACGCTCGTCATCACTCACTCCAACCAGGCCCTCAACGACCTCTTTGAGAAGATCATGCAGGTGGGTGCAATGCGGTGCGGGGCTCTGTGGTGTGGTTTTGTGTGGTGTCATATGAAACCTGTATATTCAGTGTAATTCCACTCTTATCCCACCCATGGCCTTGGCGACATGATCAAATGCGTCGTGCAGGTGAGTAATGTGTGAACAGGAGCTGAAACCAATAAACCCTTTCCCATCACTCCCTATGTCCCATTTGTGTGCAGCGGGACATACCGGTGCGCTACATGCTGCGGCTGGGCGTGGGAGAGCAGAGCTTTTGAGTCGACTCAAAAGTCAACTTTTCTCTCCCTATGTCCCATTTGTGTGCAGCGGGATGTGCCGGCGCGGTCCATTGATGCGCCTGAGCGTGGGCGAGCAGCGGCTGAACTTCCTCACCCTCCCTCCACATCACCCCACTTGTTCCCCATCCCCCCTCTCCCCCCTCTTCTCATCTGCAGAGGGACGTGCCTGCGCGTTACATGCTGCGCCTGGGCATGGGCGAGCAGGAGCTGGGCACGGAGCATCTGAGTTTCCCCATAATGCTCCTTCTCACCCGAACTCTCCCCCCTCCATTTCTCCCTCCTTTCCTATATGTATGCAGAGGGTCGTGCCTGCGCGTTACATGCTGCGCCTGGGCATGGGCGAGCAGGAGCTGGGCACGGAGCATCTGAGTTTCCCCATAATGCTCCTTCTCACCCGAACTCTCCCCCCTCCATTTCTCCCTCCTTTCCTATATGTATGCAGAGGGACGTGCCTGCGCGTTACATGCTGCGCCTGGGCATGGGCGAGCAGGAGCTGGACACGGAGCAGAAGTTCAGCCGCATGGGGCGAGTCAACGACATGCTCGCTAGGAGGCTCGAGCTCTTGGCTGAGGTGGGCTTTAATGGGAGGGGGCTTGGTACGGGTAGTGCACGGGAGAGCAGCAGAGAGGAGTCGCTGTTGCCAGTTTTGTAGAAAAGAGGGGGTAAGGCGGATTCCCTGGGTTTAAGGCCAGTCGAGGTAGACTTGGCGACAGCTGAAGGGTTAGGGTTACGTGTTTCCTGCTGAAGCCTTGTTCTTCTTGTTGCTGTCCTTTCCTGAATCTTCACTCGACTCGAAAATCGACTCACACCACATCCCTAATTCTCCCTCCAGGTGGAGCGCCTGGCAGTGACTCTTGGGCGGCCATCTGACGTGGCATACACGTGTGAGAGTGCTGCTTACTTCTGGCTGCTGCACGTGCTCGCCAGGTGAGAAGCCAGTGCATGTGGCTTTGATCAGACTTTTGAGTCGACTCAATAGACACGTGTGAGAGTGCTGCCTACTGCTTACTTCTGGCTGCTGCACGTGCTGGCAAGGTAAGGGAGCATTGGAGGTTCTCCTAATGGTGATTCGTTCCTTCTCCTTCCTTGACGATTTTTGAGGCGCCTCAAAAATCGTCTATAAAATCTTCTGAGGCGACAAAAAAATATGGCTGCTGCACGTGCTGGCAGGGTAAGGGAGCTTTGGATGTGCTCCTAATGGTAGTTCGTTCCATCTCCTTCTCCCTTTGACGTTGCGGGGGATTCGTGATGTTTCTCCTACCGTCTTGATAACGTACCTGTGTGCATGAGTTTGTGTGTGTGTGTGTGTGTGTGTGTGCGCGCGCGCGCGTGTGTGTCAGGTGGGAGGCGTTTGTAGCCAAGTGTGAATTGGTCCGCGATGCTGCTCCTTCTGAGCCCACGCCTGCTGCACCTGATGCCGCTGTTGCTGAGCCCACGCCTGCACCTCCTGCTGCTGACGGTGCTGAGGAGGGCTCTAAGGATGTCCCAATGCAGGATGCCACAGATGCTGCTCCTTCTCCTGCAGCACCTGCTGCTCCTTCCAATGCTGCTCCTTCCAGTGCCGCTGCTGCTGCAGCGGATGCAGGTGCAGCTGCGGGGAGCAGTGGTAGTGGAGGGACCAGCAGGGCAGCGAGCATAGTGCGCGACACCTTCCCCTTCACCGAGTTCTTCCAGGAGGCACCGGGCTTTAAGATGACGGGGGGGTCGTACGCGCAGGACATGCGCATGGCGGAGAGCTGCTTCGAGTTCCTCAAGGGCATGTTCCAGGTGGGGCTTTAAGGGGTGGGCTTCAAGAGGTGGGGTGGGCTTTAAGAGGTGGGCTTTAAGGGGGTGTGACTGTGACGTGTGATCTGAGTGAAATGAGACGTTTTTGAGGAGCTCCCCCTTTCCCCTCTCCCATGGCTCTCATCTTTGTCATCCCATGAGCTGGAATGTTCCATAATAGTGAGCTAGCTTCTTGTCACAGTCTTCTGCTTCTCGTCTCACCATCTCCCCCCTTTTCTCCCAAGCAGGAGCTGGAGGAGTGCCGTGCGTTCGAGCTCTTCAAAACAACAGCAGACCGCTCCAACCACCTGATGGCACGGCAGGCCAAGGTGGTGGCAATGACGTGCACGCACGCGGCGCTCAAGCACCGGGACTTCTTCAACCTGGGGTTCCACTTTGACAACCTGCTCATGGAGGAGGGTGGGAGGAAGGAGGGAGGAGTCATCCCAGACCGTTCTGAACCGCTTTGAACCCCTCTTCTCGCCTCCTTCGCCCCTTTTCTCCTGCGCAGGAGCTGGAGGAGTGCCGTGCATTCGAGCTCTTTGAGACGACGGCAGACCGCTCCAACTACCTGATGGCGCGCCAAGCCAAAGTGGTGGCCGTGACGTGCACGCGGCTTTGAAACGGCGGGACTTCCTGAGCCTGGGGTTCCACTTTGACAACCTGCTCATGGAGGAGAGGAAGGAGGGAGGAGTTACCCGTTGGGGCGCTTGTCTCTCTTCCCTGTTCAACCGATTCCCCTTTCCCCTCCCTGTCGTTTCTTCCAAGCAGGAGCTGGAGGAGTGCCGTGCTTTTGAGCTCTTCAAAACAACCGCAGACCGCTCCAACTACCTGATGGCACGGCAGGCCAAGGTGGTGGCAATGACGTGCACGCACGCTGCTTTGAAGCGCCGGGACTTCCTCAACCAGGGGTTCCACTTTGACAACCTGCTCATGGAGGAGTCGGCCATTGGGGCCCTTGTCTCGCTCCCCTGTTCAACTGCCTTTTCCCTCTCCCTCCCTGCGCTTTCTTTCAACAGGAACTGGAGGAGTGTCGCGCGTTCGAGCTCTTTAAGACGACGGCAGACCGCTCCAACTACCTCATGGCGCGCCAAGCAAAAGTGGTGGCCATGACGTGCACGCACGCGGCTTTGAAGCGCCGGGACTTCCTGAATCTCGGGTTCCACTTTGACAACCTGCTCATGGAGGAGTCGGCTCAGATCCTCGAGATCGAAACCTTCATCCCCATGCTGCTGCAACGCCCCGACGGCCCCTCCCGCACCGTCGCCGGCACTGGTACTGGTACTGGTACCACTGCTGCTGCTGGTGCGGCTGGTGCGGCTGGTGCTGCGTCTGGTGGTGGTGACAGCAACAGCGCCTTGTCCTACTCTCGCCTGAAGCGCTGCATCCTAATCGGCGACCACAACCAACTCCCCCCCGTCGTGAAAAACATGGCCTTCCAGAAATACTCGCGCATGGACCAGAGCCTGTTCACCCGCTTCGTCCGCCTGGGCGTGCCCTACATAGAACTCAACGCCCAAGGCCGCGCCCGGCCCTCCATTGCCCAACTGTACAACTGGCGATACCGCGACCTGGGGGATCTACCCGTGGTGAAGACGGGAGAGGAGTATGTGCGGGGGAATGGAGGGTTCGCGTGGGAGTATCAGCTGGTAGATGTGGGGGATTGGATGGGAAGGGGAGAGAGTGAGCCCAACCCGTGGTTTTACCAGAATCTGGGCGAGGCTGAGTATGTGGTGAGCGTGTTTCAGTACATGCGGCTGCTGGGGTATCCCGCTGAGAAGATCTCCATTCTGACCACGTACAACGGCCAGAAGCACCTGATCAGGGATGTGATCGAGAGGAGATGTGCCGGGAACCCCCGCTTCGGCCGTCCCAGCAAGGTGAGGATGTGGTGTTGCTGTCCTGAACTAGTCCTAGCATTTCGTTTGCTCCCTGCTCGCCCTCTCACCTTCTCTTCCGTTTGCTCACTCACACTTTCCTCATCATCACTCTTCACTACCCGTCACCATTCTTCACCTCTCCTCACCATGCCAGGTGACCACAGTAGACCGCTTTCAGGGCCAGCAGAACGACTACATCCTCCTTTCTCTCGTGCGGACCCGCACCGTGGGCCACCTGCGCGACGTGCGGCGCCTAGTCGTCGCCATGTCCCGCGCCCGCCTCGGCCTCTACTGCTTCTGCCGCCGCTCGCTCTTCGAGCAGTGCTACGAGCTCCAGCCCACCTTCCAGCTGCTGCTGCAGCGCCCGGATAGACTTGGACTTGTGTTGGAGGAGGGGAGTGCGAGGACGGGGAGGGAGACAGGACAGGGGAGTGAAGGGGCGTATCTGGTGGGGGGGATTGAGGAGATGGCGCGTCTGGTGGAGTGGCGCCTGCAAATGGTGACCGAACAGGTGAGAATGAGCGTGAGGCAAACAGGAATGGGTTGAGGAATCGGTTGAGGAATGGGTTGAGATGGGTTGGGAGGTTTGAGACGCTGGGTGCGCCCTCTTCGAGCAGTGCTACGAGCTCCAGCCCACCTTCCAGCTGCTGCTGCAGCGCCTGGATAGGCTTGGACTTGTGTTGGAGGAGGGGAGTGCGAGGACGGGGAGGAAAACAGGGGAGGGGAGTGAGGGGGCGTATCTGGTGGGGGGGATTGAGGAGATGGCGCGTCTGATGGAGTGGCGGCTGCAAATGGTGACTGAACAGGTGAGAATGAGCGTGAGGCAGACAGGAATCGGTTGAGGAATGGGGTGAGAGGTTTGAGAAGCCTGCCGCTCGCTCTTCGAGGCAGATGTATCGAGGCAGGTGTACATAATGCAGAACGTGCCATGGGCCAGCAGGAGGGGAGTTTTGAGTCGACAAAAAGCGTCACTGATTGCTGAACCTGTTTCTTTCCACCCCCCTTTGCACAGGAGTACATTCTGCAAAACGTGCCAGGGGGCCAGCAGCAGGCAGCACTCGCTCAGCAGCAGCAGGCGTGGATGCAGCAGGTCCAGCAGCTGAAGCACGCCCAGGCCCAAGCACAGGCGCAAGCACAGGGCCAGACCCAGACCCAGACCCAGACCCAGGCACATGCACAGGCACAGGGGCAGGGGCAGGGGCAGGGGCAGGGGCAGTCTCCTATGCAAGTGCAAATGCAAGGGCAGCCATATGCATCACCGCATGTGCCCATGCAAGGGCAGATGCCTGTGCGGTCACCAGTGCAGATGCTGCCCGTGCATGGGGTTCATGTGGGGCAGGTGCCATCTCCTGTGCTGCCGGTGCATGGGGTGCATGTGGGACAGGTGCCGTCTCCTGTGCTGCCAGTGCATGGGGTGCATGTGGGGCAGGTGTTGTCTCCTGGGCTACCAGGGCAAGCCCAAGCGCACATGCATGCACAGGCACACATGCACATGCAGGCGCAGGCGCAGATGCACATGCAGGCGCGGGCACAGATGCACATGCAGGCACAAGCACATGCTCATGCCAATGCACATGCCCAGGCACATGTGCAAGCACAGCTGCAGGTTCGGGAGCAGGCTCGGCAGATGGAGATGCACGCTCACATGGAAGCTCTGGCACGGCTGCAGCAGCAGCAGAGGCTGCAGCGGAAGCAGCACAAGAGCGGGCGCGGGAGAGGCAGAGGGAGGGGCAGGGGGCGGGGAGGCGGGCGGGGAGGGAGGACGGGAGGGGAGGGGAAGGGGAAGGGGAAGGAGGGAGTGGAGGAAGCTGGGGAGAAGGGGGGGGAAGGGGGCGGAGGAACAGGAAGGGGATGAGGAGGGAGAGGGTGTGGAAGGAGAGGAGGAGGAGTGGGGAGAGGGTGAGGGAATGCAAGGTGAGGAAGAGCATGTGAGGGTGAAAGAGGAACCTGGTGAGACAGATGCGTCTGCTGGTGGTGGTGGTGCAGCAGCTGCTGGTGTTTGTTTTGCAGCAGTACGAGGAGCACCACCTGCAGCTTCTGCAGGGCTGCTGCCACCCTCTGTAGCAGGAGCAGCGGGAGCAGCGGGAGGAGCAGGAGCAGATGTAGCTGTAGCTGAACCAGCTGTAGCACGAGGACCACCACCCGCCGCACCTGCGGGACTGATGCCGCCACTAGCGGCACCATCAGCAGAAACATCAGCAGCACCATCTGTAGCTGCAGCAGCAGCAGCAGCAGCAGCAGGACCTGCAGCAACAGTGGCAGCGGCTCCTGAAGCAGTAGCACCTGAACCACCAGTAGTGGCACCAGTGGCTGCTGCGACTACTGCTCCTATTGCTCCTGCTCCTGCTGCTGCTCCTGCTGCTGTTGGGGGAACATCAGAGATTGTGCGAGTGAAAACAGAGCTGGTGGAGCAAGCGAGGGAGGGGCAGCGAGTGAAGCAGGAGCTATTGGAAGAGGCAGGGCAGGGAGTGGGAGTGGTGGTGAAGGAGGAACCGGCTGAACCTGGTGCTGCCACTCCTCCGGGGGGGTCCTCTGACAGTGAATGATGCATACTGTGAATCCTGTGGGAGGGTTCGGGTGGGGGGGAAGGGGGGAAAAATGGGGGCCGGGCACGGGGTAGGGGTGCAGCAAGTGGGAGTGGTGGTGAAGGAGGAGCCGGCTGAACCCGGTGCTGCCACTCCTCCTGGGGGTTCCTCCGATAGTGATTGATGCATTCGGGGGTGAGGGCATGGGTGGGGATGGGGGTGAGGTTGGGGGTGAGTTCGCGGAAATGCTCTCAACCGATTATGCTTGTGGAAGCGAAACGGGATGAATTAGGAACTTTGTTTCTGTTTAGCGGAGAAGAATATCTGATCAGCTAACCACTATTATTTTTGCTTTCTTGAGGCAGTATATAGTGTTCAGCCTGAAGCAGACCGGTTTTCATCCTTTACAGTGCTTCTCATCCAAACGACGTAAAATCGAGTGCCTCTCAAGCTTGGTGTGGTGCTGTTTGGCACAAAACCCGAATTGGGGGTCTGGGGTCTGAGATTTGGCTCAAGGTTTTCGCGCCTCCGTTTGTTCAAGCCTCACTGTCATCTGTTCTCCCGTTCATTCGGTCCCTCGAGGATTAATCTGTTGCTCGTTTTCCCTTAACCCTTTAAGATTCTCCCGAGACGAAAGATTATGGCTAGTCGGAAGAAGCCTTTATCGGAGCAGCTAGCGGAGCTGCTAACCCCCGCGCCCACCGCGGGCCACGAGGACCCGGAGGACGCGCAGGGCTTCGGCGCAGAGGCGCGCGCGATCTTCGGCGGAGACGAGTCGGCGGAGGCGGCGGAAGGATGGGGCGCGGCGGAAGCCGGGGTTGTGCGCCAGGGGGAGGCTGGCGCAGGGCGGAAGCGCGGGGAGCGCAGGTCCGCGGTCAAGGAGAAGGGGCTGAGTTTGCGGGGGAATTTGGTAATGGAGGGGCGGGAATACGGCGGGAGTAAGAGCAGCAGATCGGCTCTTTTCGATGGGTGGGCGGATGACGTGGAGGGTGACGATGATGACGCGGAGGATGATGACGCGGAGGATGATGACGTGGAGGATGACGTGGATGAGAGAATGCAGAAGGCCAGTGATGCGGGGAGGGATGACGATCAAGAGTGGGAGGGAGGGAGTGAGGAGGAGGGGGAAGGTGGGGAGGATGGGGAGGACAACGCAGACGAGGATGAGGATAACGATGATGACCTTAGCGAGAACGAGTTTAGCGAGGATGCCGAGGACGAGGCGCTAGAAGGAAGCGGGGACGAGCTCGAAGGCGGCGCGTTGCTGGCGGCGGCGCGCGCCACGATGGACCTTGGGATGGACGCGCTCGATCGAGACTTCGAGGCCGTGCTAAAAGACGAGTTTCGGCCAGCAGCAACAGTAGCGGGGCGGGATCTTAGCGCTAGTAACGAGGACGATGATGACGAGGATGGGGAGCGGGTAGGCCAGCGGGGCGGCGGTGGGGACGGCGGGGAAGGTGGCGGCGCGCCGGTGGCGATAGCGAAAAGTGCTTTTAAAGGGGCGGTTCGTGACGAGGATAAGGGCCGCGCGGTAGCCGCGCAACGCGCGCTGTGGGACCGCGCGCTGGAGCTCCGCATAGCGCTGCAGCGCCCGCTGCAGTCCGCGTGCCGCCTCCCCCACGCGCGCGCGCACGCCGCCTTCGCGGCGGTAGCGCCGGACGTGGCGGCGGAGTTCCAGGCTGTAGCGGCCGGCACGCGGACGGCAATCCGGCAGTTGCTGACGCTGCAGGACGAACTGTTCACCCGGAACGCGGCGGTTGACGGCGCGTTTAAGGCCGCACGGGAGGCGCTGGCTGGAGGCGGAAGCGGAAGCGGAGAAGAGGAAGGAGGGGAACGAGCTAGGGACGGAGCCACAAACGGGGGTTTAAGCGGAGGTTTAGGGTTCAACCTGGGTTCTATAGAGGATGGGAGCAGCGAGGAGGTGTGGGAGCAAATATCGAGGATGTATGAACGGTTCCGACCCTTCTCGCAGAGCTCCATAGACAGGTGAGGCTAGACTGTGTGACGGAGTGTGATTGGCGTAGTGTGAGGGAACGTTAGGCATTTAAGGCTGTGAGGCCTCAACCAGGAGTTGTGTGCTCCAGCTCGGTAGTCACCTTCTTGCTTCTCTCCCTCCCTTCTCCCGCCCAGCCACAATCCTTCTTAAAATACATGGAATGCAGGTGGCGTTGCAATCTTCACCTGCGTGTTCTTTTTTTTCTCTCTCTCTCTCCCATTTCTGCCCACTCTCCTCCTCTGGAGTGCAGGTGGCATCGCAAGACCCTGCTGACATCAGGGGCCATGGCAGCGGGGCGCAGCAGCAGCCGGCTGAGGGCGCTCAACCAGAGCGTCTCCCAGCAGGTCGCATCTGCCCTCCGCGCCCCCGATCGCCTCATCCAACGGTCCAGATTGCCCCGCGAGGCCGTCAGTGTGATCGGTGCAAAAGCGGAGGCTCTGGCCACTGCTGGTGCTTGTGGGAAGAAACGAAAGGGGCCGGATGGCGTAGATGGGGAGGGGGGTGATCGAAAGAGGGCACTAAATGGTACTATGCAAGAGGAGGAGGAGATGGAAGAGGGGGTCAAAAAGCATGCGGAGGCGGAGGAGGAGGGGCAAAATAGGGAGCAGGGGGAGCAGGGCGAAGAGGAGCAGGAGGGCGGCGAGTGGGACATGGACTCATACGACGACACAGAGTTTTACCAGCAGCTTCTAAGAGAGTTCCTCGACTCATCGCACGTGGAAGAACTCGGCATAGCGTCCCAGCAGGTGGTGCGGCGGGTGAGGGGCAGCAAGAGCAAGGCGGTGGACAGGAGGGCGTCCAAGGGCCGCAAGGTGCGGTATGCGCCGATGCCGGCTCTCGTGAACTTCATGGCCCCAGAGCCCGTTCAGCTGCCGCCGGTTGTGGAGCGGCTCTTTGGGAACCTTTTCGGGCAGGTGCATGGGAAGAAGTAGCTTCTGTACGAGAGAGCTCTCTGGCCCGTTTTGCCTCTGGGTGATTTTTGCGGTGGGTGAGGGGCAGCAAGGGCAAGTCGGAGGACGGGAGGGCGTCGATAGGACGCAAGGTGCGGTATGCGCCGATGCCGGCTCTCGTGAACTTCATGGCCCCGGAGCCAATGCAGCTGCCGCCCGTTGTCGACCGGCTGTTTGGGAATCTTTTCGGTCAGGTGCATGGGAAGACGTAGCTGCTCTTGTTGTGGGAGTGCGGTAGAGCCGATGCCGGTACGGTACTTGTGACTCTTTGTACGGTAGCTTTGGTGGAAGCTGACCAACATCTCCGGTCCGGTCCGGAGTATGCCTGCCTCGTGCTTCACTTCAGTGCCTCTCAGCCTTGAAGCTGGAAACGATGCAGATTTCTCTAGTTCAGATTTGCATGTAGCAAGTTACGGTAAGTGAAATGAAAAAAATTTGAAGCATCCTTTGAGACAGTTCCCTTCGGATACACTGATGCTTTTTGTAAGGAATTACAATTCCTTACAGTACTCGCACTTTAGCGAGTACATCCCGAAGGTGTCGCGACGAACCTGTTCGGCCTATTTCGTCGCACCGAACCACCCCCGAGTCGGCCTCCGCTCCAATCGTAGCCATCACCGAGCCATCCCATCCCGAACCCCCCGCCTAGCTAGGTTTTCCCCTATTTAGGCCTCGCTACTTCATTGTTCAGTCATTCTGTAATCAGTCATTCTCGTTATTCGATATCTGCGCACTCTGACAAGTTCATTCATAACACTTTTGATTACCACATGAACGGCCTCCGCTCCAACCCGTAAGCCAAAAGCGTCACATACACGTAACTGTTCAGCAGCACTGAAAGATTCTCCGCCTGCCAAAGCCGAGAGCAGTGCGGTGTGGTCTTCGATCTTCAGTCACTGTTCCACGCATCGCGTGGAGACTTCTGAGTCGACTTTTGGGTCGATTCAAAATTCAGAGATCACGTGCATCACAACCGTTCTCCGGTCAGTAGCGGCCAACGGATTGCTTTGCGATCGTAGGGGCCATTTTGAGGTGCGATCTACATTTGCGTGAAAATGTACTCATGTGTAATCCATGTTACTGTGCAGGTGCGAACACCAAATTCGGTTTGAAGTCTTGCTCCCGATAACGCCTTTCCATCCGATATCCGATTTGAAATAGCACAAACAGTCACAATCAAACGCGATTTCGGATCACGCTACGCAAAATTCAAATTGTCCCCTCATATTTGCCCAATTTCGACGATTTTTTATTATTATTATTAATATGTTAAAGTATACACCGATGATGCAAGTGCACACAAACATATGTCAGTCGTAACTGAGCGTGAGAGGCCCGGCAGCGTGCCAGCCTCAAGGGACGACTCTAAGGGGGATGCAGTGCCCCTCGCGCAAGATTCCATAACGCGCCAAAGTGACGGGACCATTTCCAGCCTTTGCCTTCCAGAGTCCGGATACGTCCAAGGAGCCGACACTCCTGATCTGCCAGCGCATATGTCTTCCCGCCCTGCTTCAAATCGCCCTTCGTGTTCAACTTTTTCCCTGTTGCCCGAGTATACACCCGCACATGTAGCCTGAAAGCTGCTTCAATCCTCCTCATCACCCGCCTGGCCCGAAATCTCTTGCCTCGAAACACGCAATCACACCGCTCTGCCCAAATCTGGTGTATTGCGATGGCCGAGAGAGATGCTTCCGGAAAAGCTGAGCTGGAAGCGGTGTTGCCAAACAGTATGTCGCCCAAGCTGTCAACATGCTTCGCCGGATTCAGCATGCGCAGAGCCTTCCGAACTGCTCCCACAACCGTCTGGATTCTTGGACAGGTGTAGAGGCAGTGTTCAAGAGTTTCAAACTCCCCGCAATGCGGGCAGACCGGCTTTCCACTCAAGAAAGAAAGCCTTTCACCCACTTGAAGGTTGAGACTGTGTATTCTCAGCAGCACATCACGCGGTCGGTTCGGTGTCACCAGCGAGTCCCGAATTTTCACAACCCTTTTCCAAACAATAACTCCTGCCCATCTGCCCGCCCAGAGCTCCTGTTTGGCCGATTGATGTTTCGACTGTTGCCAGTTTCCCTTCAACTCCTTCAGCGATGGAAGCCCTCCACCACTGAAAGCCGCTGAGCGCTGAAGCGGAGTGCGGAGCTGGGTGGTGGGTGCGCTAGATTGCTCGGCTGAGAGGAGGCTCAGTTTCCAGCTCTGCGGTGCTGCTTCCCACGCCCGTAGAGCAAGCTTCGCCTGCTTTGAGCCACCGAGCTCCCTCGCTAGGGTTTTGTCATCCTTTACACGCCAGCTCCCATCACCATCCGCGGTCAGCAGGTCTCCCAGACGCACCTCCCACAATTTCTCCGCGGCTTTCTGGCTGCCCACTGGGGTCGTGCCGTTCATCAGGAGATGGCGGTTGAACACGATGCAACCCCTCGCAGCTTCCTCCCGTGATAAATCAAGCGGCGTGCTGGCGAGCGGCGACTGCATGAAGTTGGCGCACGCAAGCTTCCACCGCTCGCTTTTCCCGCGCCAGCATTTGAGCAGCTTCACGTGAGCGACGAAAGTGTCCGTTCCAAGCGGCAAGTCCGCAGCCTGGAGCATGATGTCACGTTTCAGCGCGTTCGTCTCGGTGAGCAGCAGCCCGATCTTTCTGGCAATTAGGCAGGTAAGTGCGATCTCGGGGTCCTTCACACCGACACCCCCCTCTTCCCTGGCCATGTACAACAGCTCTCTGCTCCACAGTATGAATTCCTTGTCGGTGGAGGCCCGGTTACCCGACATGAAATTGTGCGTCAGTTTCAGTATCCGCCCCCAAATATCCATCGGTGGCGGGTACACCTGAGCCTGAAAGAAGATTATCGGTGAGATGTAGCAGTTTATAACCGCAGCACGCGCGCCAGTTGTGAAATGTTGCGCCTCCCACTGCGACAATTTCCGCTTAATCTGTGCGAAAGCCTTCTCCCATGTAGGATTGCAGCTTCCAGCAGGAGTCACCCACACCCCCAGTAGCCTTTCTGCCTCATCAGCCTTCGCCCATTTGAAACCATCGGTCTTCCAGGGCTGCCTGCCCAGATTCGACCCCAGTGGTAAGACAACTGACTTCTCCTTGTTTGTAGCGAGACTTGACTCCCCTGCAAACTCTTCTAACAGTTTCTCTGCCGCTGCAATCTGCTCCTCCCCCTCCAGGATGAGAGTTGTATCATCGGCGTAACCAAGATACGCCAGCCGCTGATCATCCTCGGAAATACCAATCCTCCAGTTCGCCGCTTCCTGCGCCAGCGGTTCCACCGCGCACAAAAACAGGTAAGGTGCTAGAGGGTAACCCTGACGCACCCCCGAGACCACTTCAACCGCTTCGCCAATCCAACCGTTAACCAACAGACTTGTCCGTGTGTTCTCATGCAGGCCCCGAATCCATCCGACAAAGCGAGGAGGAAAACCCATCTTCTCCAGCACCGTAAACAGGAATCCCCGCGATACCGAGTCGAAGGCCTTCCTAAAATCGACGAGCAGGAGGTACCAGTCTTTATCTTTATTTTTGGCCGCTTCGATAATATCCGCCACTAGCCCTACAGCGTCTGACAACCTCCTCCCAGGTAAGAAGCCAAACTGCTCCGGTGAGACTACCCCCGAGAGCACTGTTTTCATCCTGTCCGCTACCACACGCGCTATCACTTTATAGGTGAAGCTGAGCAATGTGATTGGACGGTAGTTCTCCAGCTGATCTCTTCCCCCTTTCTTATGCAGCAGGATGGTCACCGCGTCTTTTGTGGAGGCTGGGAGGGACGCCGTGTCCGAGAAACTCTTCACCAGCAACATGAAGTGTTTGCCCAGGATGTCCCAATGTGCTTCGAAGGGCTCCTTTGGCAAGCCGTCCCGGCCAGGAGCCTTATTATTCGTCATCGACTGAAACGCGCTCTTAACCTCCTCCTCCGACCACTCGGCAGACAACAACTCCGCCGCTGCTGACGACAGTCTTCTGTCCGCCGAGGGTTCCCACTTAGATAAGACCGTCTGTCTGTCCGTTCCAAACAACTGCCGGCAGTACTGCGAAGCTGCACCCAGAATGTCTTTATTGTCGCTGACCATTGTGCCTCCCACGTTTAACTCCGTGATTTGCGTGCGCTCCTTCCGGCCCTTAATCTTCGCAGATAGGAAAGGTGATGCTACCTCCCCCAAGGTCGCCTCCTTCATTCCGGCCATCACGTGCAGTCTCTCCTGCCGCGACTGCTGATAACTTCTCAGTTGGAGCTCCCTCTCGCTCAGCAGGTCTTTCAGCCGGACACAGCTCGGGTCCCCCAGCCACGCCTGTTTCAGATCAGCAACCGCCTGTTGAAGGAAGGTCATCGTGGCGCGGACCCTCTTTCTCTCCTCTCTGGCGTAAGCCTTGAGCCCTGCGTTCAGTCTCGCGATTAGCAGCTCGTAGTTGTCACCTGATTCCTCCATCTGGTTCGACACCCTTTCGAACACCTTTCTGACACCCGGTCTCCCCACCATGTATGCAGGGAGCCTCCAGAGGCCCGGTCCCGTCTGCACCTGCGTGCTCATCCTGAAGGCCACCTTAATCGCGAAGCTGTGATCCGAGATTGGGTCAGCAGGCATGATGTGGGAGGCGAACTCAACATGCGATAGGAGCGACTGCGAGATGAGTGCGCGATCAATGCGAGTAGAACACGGAAGGCATGTGAGTAGAAAGTGAACTCCCGTTTGAAAGGATGCAGAACACGGAAGGCATCCGATAAACGGAAAGCACTGCAGCGCTGGTACAACTCGTCATTCTCTTTGGTCGTCCCTTTCCTGGAGGTCCTGTCCAGCAGCGGATCCTCCACCAGATTCAGATCCCCGAGGACAAGCAGGTGAGCGCCGGGTGGTACACCGTCTACCACTGGGCCCAGGACCCGGCGGATGAAGGTTTTCCGGTCCGTCACGTCCGCCGGAAAGTACACTGCTACTAAGGTGATGTGGAAAGTGTCAAGCTGCACGTCCGCTTTGATCAGTCGGCCTGACGAGTGAATCAGAATGTTATGAAGTGATAATCCTTGTCTGCGGCAGATCAGCGCAACACCTCCGGATTTGGCAGTTGGCGAGGCTACTAAAGTCCTAGGCTGTTTGAGAGAGGTCCAGTAAGGGTGGTCAATTGCTAGTCTAGAGTCTGAGAGTATAGTGATATCAGCGGCTTGTCTGATCCAGTTCCTCGTACGCTGTTGCTTGTTCCCATCTCCCAGGCCGTTCACATTCAGGCTTGCTACTGTGAGAAGATTTTTTGTACTCATTTAATCACTGCTTGATAGCCCTCCCCTCATCCACAGGCTGGTGAAACATGCAACGGCTATGAGGGAACAAACAACGGCTACAGTTGAAGAAATCCTGGTCAACCGATCCTGATCAACACTTAGATCCCGTACTCCTTGCGGATGGTGTTCAGGTTCAGATTCTCGAGGGAGAGACGAGTGGCAGCACCCAGCTTCTCTAACCCCAGCAGGTGGCTTGCAGAGGTGACGTGGTCCGCAGCAGTCATGAAGGATTTGCCGTGCGCCTTTCCGCAGCTGGCTTGGGTGCAGAGCCACTCCTCCCTGTTGCTCCCCGTCGAAATCAGAACAAATGCCGCATCCATGAGGAGAGGGGTGACAAGCGGAGAAGTGCGGGGAGAAGCAGCTGCGAGAGGCAAGCGAGAGGTCAGAAACCGAGGAAGGTAAGAAACAGCACGAGCAACCCCGACAACCAAACTGTAAGAGGCTGTTACCGTTAATCCTGTATACCCGACCCACTGTGAGACTCCACTTCCCTATGTTATTCTGACGCTCCGTGACATAGACATCATGAAACTTGTCATAGTGATGTCCGCCACAGAGCGTGCAGGATAGCAAAGGGTAGTGGGCTAGCAGTGTCGTCCCACCAAGCAGCTGATGACGAAACTCGTGACGCCATCGATGCTTGTCCCCCGCGTGCGGGATCACCAAACCCTTGATCTTATCAGTGTCTGCGCCAGTGACCGGATGCAGCACATGGTGGAAGCAGAGACCTTCGTTGAACGCGGACCGTTTGCGAACTTTCAGCTGGTGGACAGCCATCACATCCTTGACCAGTTCCGGCGGAATGTCAGCAGGTACACCCTTAAAATAGACTTCCAGCATCTGCGGGTTGGCCGCCTTTGTTCGAACGTAAGCCGGATCTTCCTGGTGGAGCCAGAAACAGTGAATATTCAAGCCATTCGGTCGCGTATGGTCCACAATCATCTGCTTGACATTGGTCGCGTTTGCTTCTTGCAGGAAGGAGACCTGGAGTCTGCTGTAACGTGACTTCGCGACGTACGCAGGTAACAGCTCCTGAAACTTCACTGTGGTAAGAACACCGTCAGTAAAGATATGCGACCAAACACGCTTCATCAGCATCCTGACGGTAATAATAACAGAGGTGATCTCATGAGACGGAATGACCGGGAAGAGCAGTATCGCCGTGAACCGTAGATGCGACGCCGTTCCTTTTTCGTTGTCGATTTCCAGATCCTCATCAGAGTCGTCCTCAATAAAGGTGTCATCAGGTACGACCGTAGCCAGCGCCTTCAGCTTATCCTCAATGGATAATCCCGAGCTTCCCGCAGTGAATTCAGCCTCAGATGGCAGATTCTTCTCAATGTCTGACTTGCTGTTTGCCGTCTGCTTGGATGCAGCATCAGGGTCACCCGTTGTGATTTCAGGCGGCGGCACTTCAACGGCGGGCTTAACGCGGGATCCTTTCGGCGGCATCGTGCGATGATGAACCAAAAACGGCAGAAGCTCTGAGCTGACGAGCTGTTGAAGAATATATGCCGATGGTCTGAGCACAGTACTGATATATAGCCTGCCATTGTCATTGTTAGCGTAGACAGCTGTCCAGTGCTCGTAACTTAGGTGATGGGAAGCCGAGGATAGAACTTCAGGATCACGTCCTTGGACGTAATCCTGATGTCCAGTGACGTTAGTCCTTGGTTGTTGTTCGTGAGTGCCAGCAGAGCGCCTTGAGAAGCCCGCGCGGAACTTGGACTTAGTTGCTTGCACCAGTGAGATACTCCCTAGAGCAGTCGATATAATGTTCGCACGATGAACATAAAAAGTATATAGGCTGCTTCGTAAGGATGTAACGAGTACAATGCTGGTGAAATTAAAGCCATCAGGTGGCCAGGCTTCACGTAATGTGCTTGTCAGGCAAGTGTCAGGCAGCCATGGCGGCCTTGGCATTGTCATTGTCCAAGTCCCTCATTGGCTAGTGGGCTCATTGTTATTTCGACGATAATACCTGCTTTGTACGAGGAGTTTCATGAAAGAATCGTTATGCTGGATCGGCTGTACTGCTGACGCAGGTGACGGACGGTGCGCTGGGCAAATCATCATTCCCTTCTTGGCGCGCACCCCGAAATACCAAAAACTGCCTGGGTAATGTTTTATATTACCCCCATCTTAGAAATTAACAGCTGGGTTTTCTTTTTCGTACTGGATGAGGCTACCAGAGAGAAAAGAATTCAGATTGGTAACTTTTCATTTTCTGTCTCTTCGTCTAGTGTGGAAAAAAAAATCTAGCTGTGTATTATATTTTTTACTGTGAGGGTAAATCTTGTTATCACCCGCGCAGTTTCTCGTGTTTCGGGATGCGCGCCTGAGAAGTGAATGGTGATTTGCTCGGCGTACTGTCCCGTCACCTGCGTCAGCAGTACAGCCGATCCAGCATAACTTTTATTTTACAAAACTCCTGGTACAACGCAGTTGCTATCGTCGAAATTGGGCAGATATGAGAAGACAATTTGGATTTTGCTTGGCGTTTGATTGTGACTGTTTGTGTTATTTTGAATGGGATATCGGATGGAAAAGACATTATCAGGAGCAAGACCTAAAATTGAGTTAGGGTGTTCGTACCTGCACAGTAACATGGATTACACATGAGTACATTTTCACGCAAATGTAGATCGCACCTGAAAATGGCCCCGATCGTAGGGGTGGAGCCCCGCCGTGGTCCCCGGGGTTGCCTCACGCGTGCCAAGATTGCTGACATGTCCGTGTTTCAGCTTTACGATAAACGATCGGTGTTGCGGACAGCTCACCCACATCCATTCGGTCTTTGGCAATTTGCCCGACTTGGAACCCCACCAATGATAGGGGCGCTGTGTGATTTCGTCGCCAGCCAGCCGTCCCTCAACCTCAATCATTTCGCGTCGCGTCGCCTATCTCATCGCTTGATGTCGTCAACGCGCCAACCATTCCCTCGCTGCTTGCCTCGGCGTCACCCACTGTTGAACCAAACAAGTCGTCCACGGGCATCCCTTGGGAATTGTTGGAAGCTTGTCAGAGAAAGTGTTCCTGCAATTCCTGGAGTGTGCTATTCCTCCTCCGTATGTGTCTGTTCAACGCGAGTTGTACAAGATTTTCACTTGCGGTTGAACAAGATTTTCTGCTCTTCAAAGCGTTTCATTCTCTGTGTAGAACGGTTAATGAGGTTTGCAAGGGGAAATGCAACGTCATATCATTCCCAGATGTTGCTGTTTTCCGTTCAGTTGTTTCCTAGGTCTTGCGTTACCGGCGGCCAACACAGAAATTAGGGCTACGATTATTATCACCGTTTTACAGGTGGACGGAGTACGCTTACAGTATCTTTTGTGTCGTCTGACGGTGGGGTCCAGTGCAAGTGCAAGCAGGTGTCTTCGACGTGGTACTGTATAATGCCACCCATTGACGTGGTAGCAGGTGTTATTTCGCGACATAATCTCCTGGGGAGAAAAGGGTCGAGTGTTTTGGCGGTAACGCTACGATGGTTTTGTAAGCAACAAGAAGATGCGTTTGTTAGTGAACTTGGGTTGTGCAGCGCTGACGACTAGACGGACATATGCTTCTCCTGCTGCGCGTCCGACGGTAGGATACATCTGTCAGGAGCACTCGCCACTAATTACAAGATCTGCGAAGCAACGGTGGCCACGAATAAGCCATTGTAGCCAGAGGGAGATGATGCGTGGGATGAACAGCAGAGATTGATGATAGCAAGTTCGGCAAGTTTCTGTGAGGATGAAGGTCAGATTGAGCCAATGTGGGAGCATTTGATGATCTCGAGAACGTTTTAGTCACCGCCAGATCTGTTTATGTTGACGTAATCTAGGATGTTATCGAAGGTAGCGTAGTTCAAGCCCTAGTAGTATTTGAGTCTGACATTGTTGAGCAGAAGGTGTTTGGTTCCAGGATCCCAGAGGATGTGGCTTGCTGGTATACTCCACGCCAGCCGCCGTGCGTCGCTGCGCCGTAGCCCTGCTTCAGATATAAAGAACCACTTAGAGTACCTACTTCGCTGGCGACTCGTTCACGTCAGCATTCGGAGTCCAAGAAGGTACCAAACTTCAAGGCTACAGCGTTCGGTCTGGGAGAGTGTCATCTAACGGTCATGGACGGTCATGGAGGTACCGTGACGTCGACCTCGTCCCAGTGGAGCGGATCGGACGGCTCTGATCTGCCCCCGAGGGACGTTAGATGCTCGCGAGGCCCGAGACGGCGAGGATGGCGGAGATTGACGGCCATTCTCATTGGGACCCAGCATGAGGAGGAGGATGAGCGGGGAGTTGAGGGGAGCTTGGGGAGAGAACGTGGGGAGGAGCACGAGGGAAGGGGGAACGAGGAGGGTGGTTCCGACGCGCAGAACCGCGGAGGCGGAGGGTTACCTTTGGACGAGCGTGACTATAGCGGTGCTGATTCCGCGGCTCTGAATGATTCGCACAGTAGAGAGTCACAAGGGTACGTTACGGTGCGTGTACTTTTTACTGCATACTCAGCGACCCCACTGCACTTAGTCAGATGCGTATCTTAGTCTACCAATTTTTCTGTGCTCTCCCTGCCTGATTCCCTTGCAATCGCACATCCCCACCCCACTGCCTCGCACATGCGCTACAGGTTCTGGCACTCGGCACATAGCCATTTACATGGCGCGTCCCCATTGGACCAGGTCGTGGTGGACACGTCAGCAGCACCCTCCGTGTCATTTAGCGACGCACTCATGAAAGAAGTCCTTCCCAGAAGCTTTCCCGATGGGAGTGAGGGGGAGGGGGAGCTGTGGAGGAAAGGAGACGGCCTGAGAAAGGGTTTTAGAAGGGTGGGTCGGCGGCTTATTCGGGCTGTGAAGAAGCGACCTGTGCTCATGAGACGGCTAGCAGCTGTGGTAAGCAAATTGCAGACTTGGTCGTCACGTCACATCACACCGCACGATCACAACACTTCACTTTGCCGACAGGTGCCCCCTTTCCGTCGCCCCCGGATCTTCTACCAACCCGGTTCTGACCCCCTCTCGGCCAACGCTACTGCTTTCCAAAACCCCTCAAACCCACCCCATCCTTCGGGGCCCGGGTAACCTGTCTCCCACTTCTTTCATCCTCCCCGTCTGCTCAACCTGTGGCTGACATTCTGCTTCCTCCTCCCATGGTCACCCGGGTGCTCATTCCCAGCTTCGCTTTCTCACTCTCCAGCCGCCTCCTCTAACTGATTTTTGACGCGCCTCAACTATCAACTTTTGGAGCGCCTCAAAGGTCGCCTTTGAGGCATCTCAGCAAGTAATTTCTTTCCTCCTTTGCTATCCCCTGTTTCCTCACATGCTCGCCCAATGCCCCCTCCCACCCCTTCCCCTCCTGTTCCGCCTTTCCTTGCACCAGATACTCATTTACATCCTCCTTGCAGCCTGCATGTTCCTCTCATGGGCGCTCATGCGCTCCTATGCCACGTCAGCCCTCGCCCACGTGGGCCGCAGCACGCGGGCGCAACTGGTGCAGGGCGCATCTGCAGGGATGGGCGCAGCCCTTGCCAGTTTACCCTCCTCAACAGCACCTACACTTGAAGGAACCTTCATTTCCTTCTCAGGAACCTTCCCTGGAGAAGACTCATCGGGACACTTGCACACACACATGCTCCTCGCTAGAATCACCAATAACACTCTTCTCTACACCGTCACTCCTTCACAACCCACCGACCCCAGCCTATCCGACACTGCCAAGTCAGCCAGCCCTGTCGCATCCGCTGCAGCACAGTACCTCGCTTCCGCAGTCCCCCCCTTTCAGCTCCTCTCCGCCTGCTTCTTCTCCCCTGACCATGTCCCCCTGGGAAATCCCTCAAACCCTAATAACCTTGGGAACTCCGCAGCCCTGGGAAGCCTGGGGTTTAGTGGGGCCGCCAATACTACCGCCGAGACTACCGCCCAAACCACCACCGGCGGTACCGAGCAGCAATACTATGTAGACGCATGCCCTGTCAGTGTCAACGCCTCCGCCTCTAGCCTACAGGGGCTGGTTCAGCAGCAGCAGCAGCAGCAGCAGCAGCAGGGTGATGGTATGGTGGTGATCTCCATAGTGCCGTTGGCTCTTATCCTCGCTCCTTTGGATTCCGGCAGCGACACTGTCAGGGCGCTCTGCATCGCCCTGCCACTGGTCGTCCTCGTTGTAGGCTTGCTGCTCGTCTGTGTGAACAGATCCACGGACTTGGCTCAATCCGGCCAAACGCTGCGACAGGTGAGCCTGAAGCTGACTGGCAGTGTTGACTGTGTGGTTTGGGCTGCTGCATTGTTCCGTCTGCCCCCATACTTTCTCTCCACGATTGTGATAACCTTAAGGCGCCAAAGAAGTGACCGGTCCCTGTCCGTCCCCACCTCTCCCCGTGGTTTCTCCCATGCTCTCTCTGTTATGTGCATGCATCCAGGAGCTGGTACGGCAACTGGTGGAGAAGCACAGGGTGGAGCAGCGCAGCAACCACAAGAGCCAGTTCCTCGCCAACATGAGGTGAGATTGTCAGACATCTCTAGCTTAGAGGAATTTAGAGGCGTTCTGGAAGCTGGTTTGACAGCTGGATCGCGTGTTTTTCCCTGCCCCTCTCTTCCCCCCTAGCCATGAGCTGCGCACGCCCCTAGCAAGCATCATCGGGCTGCTGGACCTGCTGGTGTGCGAAAGCACTCTGGTTCTGTGACGTTCAGCAAGTTGGTTAGACGTTTGCTTCTTCCACTCCTTCCCCACCCCCCCCCCCGCCCCCACGCAGCCACGAGCTGCGCACGCCACCAGCAAGCATCTTCGGGCTGCTGGACCTGCCGAAATGCGACAGTACTCCTGTTCTGAACTTCAAGATTTGTCTTTTTTTTTTTGTTCCACTCCTCCTCCCCCCACGCAGCCACGAGCTGCGCACGCCTCTAGTGGGCATCATAGGGCTTTTAGACCTACTGGCGTGCGAAAGTACTCTCGTTCTGAGACGTTCAGCAAGTTGGTCAAACGTTTGCTTCTTCCACTCCTCCTCCCCCCCCAGCCACGAGCTGTGCACGCCCCTAGCAGGCATTATATGGTTGTTAGACCTGCTGGCATGTGATGAGCTCTCCCCAAGCAGGAGGCCATGGTGCTGCAGATCAAGCACTCTCCTGCTCGTGTCCTCCCCGCCTCCCCTCCCTCCTCTCCCCTGCATCCACGAGCTGCGCACCCCCCTGGCGGGCATCATAGGGCTGTTAGACCTGCTGGCATGTGACGCGCTCTCCCCCGAGCAGGAGGCCATGGTGCTGCAGATCAAGCGCTCTTCTTCTCCCCTCCTCTCCTCCCCCAACACAGCCACGAGCTGCGCACCCCCCTGGCGGGCATCATAGGGCTGTTGGACCTGCTGGCGTGCGACGCGCTCTCCCCCGAGCAGGAGGCCATGGTGCTGCAGATCAAACGCTGTGCCTCGGGGCTGCTCGCCCTCATCAACAACGTCCTCGATATTTCCAAGGTCAAAGCCCTGCCCTAAGCCGTGCCCTAAGCCGTGCCCTAAGCCGTGCCCTAAGCCGTGCCCTAAGCCGTGCCCTAAGCCGTGCCCTAAGCCGTGCCCTAAGCCGTGCCCTAATCCGTGCCCTGAGCCGTGCCCTGAGCCCTGCCCTAAGCCCTGCCCTGAGCCCTGCCCTGAACCCTTCCCCACAGCCCAAAACGCACCGGCTCTGTTGCTCGCTCCCTGCACGTTCCCCTCCCCCTCCCATCCGCGCCCCTTCAGGTGGAAGTGGGAGGATTCTGACTCCCTTCAGTATAGTCACGGAGATGGAGACTCTACTGGACATGTTTGCAGTGCACTGCATGTAATCATTCCCATGCACCCCTCACCTCACCCTTCCACTCCACACACAGACACCTCAAAACGCACCTGTCCCTCCCACCCTGCCGGTCCCTCCCTCCCTGTGCCTCACCCTCCCCCTCCCCTCAGGTGGAAGTGGGGGCGTTGGAGCTCACTATAGCGCCCTTCAGTATAGTCACGGAGATGGAGACGCTACTGGACATGTTTGCAGTGCACTGCATCGGCAGCGGGGTGGACCTCTCAATGGATCTAGCAGACGACCTTCCACCCTGTTCGTCCCTCCCTCCCTGCATGTACCCCCCCCCCCCCTCCCTTCCCACTACCTCCCCTGCAGGTGGAAGTGGGAGCACTGGAGCTCACTATAGCGCCGTTCAGTATAGTCACGGAGATGGAGACGCTACTGGACATGTTTGCAGTGCACTGCATCGGCAGCGGCGTTGACCTCTCAATGGATCTAGCAGACGACCTTCCACCCTGCTCGTCCCTCCCTCCCTGCATGTACCCCCCCCCTCCCTTCCCACTACCTCCCCTGCAGGTGGAAGTGGGAGCACTGGAGCTCACTATAGCGCCCTTCAGTATAGTCAAGGAGATGGAGACGCTACTGGACATGTTTGCAGTGCACTGCATCGGCAGCGGCGTTGACCTCTCAATGGATCTAGCAGACGACCTTCCACCCTGCTCGTCCCTCCCTCCCTGTCCGTCCCTCCCTCCCTGCTCACCAACAATGTGCTTCTGACCCAACTCAAACACCATCCTGCCGGTCCCTCCCTCCCTGCACGTCCCCCTCAATCTCTTTTCAGGTGGAGGTGGGAGCGTTGGAGCTCACTATAGCGCCCTTCAGTATAGTCACGGAGATGGAAACACTACTGGACATGTTTGCAGTGCACTGCATCGGCAGCGGGGTGGACCTCTCAATGGACCTAGCCGACGACCTCCCCGACATGGTGCTGGGGGATGCAATGCGGTTCCGCCAGGTGCTCAGCAACCTGCTGTCCAACAGCGTCAAGTTCACGGAGCAAGGGTACATTCACGTGCGCGCGTGGGTCGTGCACACCCCCAACACTATCGCCATGGTGAGTGAATGGCAGTTGTTACGATGCCTATGCCTCAAAACGCGAGCATTCAGGGAAAGGACACTTTTATTTATTTTATTTTATTTTCCGCCTCCACCAACCCCTCCCTTTTCTCACTTTATCAAGACACGCTCTCCCTGGCCGCCCGCCCCCCCCACCACCCCTACCCCCGCGCTTTCGACTCTCCCTTCCAGTCGCGAACAGCCCTGGAGAGTGGTGCAGACATTTATTCCCTGCGAATGAGCGCTCTCAACGCTCTTCTCCCCCACAAGCCGCATCCTCCTGCTGCTGCGCCCGCTTCTGCTGCTCTCGCCTCTGCTGCTTCTGCTGGCAGTGCTGTTGGCAGTGCTGCTGGTAGTGTTGTTGGTAATGCTGCTGCTGCTCCTGGTACTGCTAGTGCTGCTGCTGCTGGGGCAACTCGTAGTCACAGCAGGCACAGTTTACAGGCTCCAAGAGAAATCACACTGGTAGGAGAAGCGGAAGAGGAGGAGGAGGGAAAGGAGGAGGATGGGGAAGAGAAGGGGGAGGAGGAGGAAGAGGAGGATGAGGAGAGCGTGAGGAGTCACAGGGGCAACCCGCATGGCTGTGCTCCCATGATGGCAGTAGCAGGGTGCTTAGCAGGCAGCCGGGAACGAGGAGAGCGAGGGACAGCAGCAGGCACAGGTGCACACACAGAAGGCTGGGAAGGGAGGGGTGCAGGAGCGAGAGGGAGGGGTGAGGGAGCGAGAGGAGCCTTGGCCTGCGCAGGTGGGTTCCCCTGTGCAGGCGGGCTGCCCTCCTCCTCAACCTCACTGAACCGTTCTGCTAGCCTCAGGGAGCAGAGCAGCCCTTTACTGGGGACCCGGGATGGGGGAGTGAGGTCCCACAGTAGCCGTAGGCCCCCAGGGGAGGTCGTGAGAGGTCTGTGTGTGGGAGGGGTGGCGGATACGGCTGCTGAATCGGACGCAGAGGGGAGTGAGCTGGTGGATATAGTGATTGAGGTGGGAGTAGGCGAGGGAGTGGGGAGGGATGCGAGGGTGGATCATGGCGGACAAACGGGTGGGATGGTAGGCAGAGGGATGGAATCAGGGTCAGCTGGGGCAGGTGTAGCTGAGGACAGCGCAAGTGCAGGCGCAGGGGAGGACACACCGGGAGAGGGCCTGTCTGGGGAAGGTACATCTGAGGAGGTTCCACCTGGGGAAGGCCTGCCTGTAGGGGAGCGGCCATCAGGCGAGCCTGCCCCGGACGACCGAGTGCTGATAATATTTGAGGTGGACGACACGGGGTGTGGTATACCACCGGAGAAGCGCGAGGTGGTGTTTGAGAGCTTCTCCCAGGTGGACGAGTCGGCCTCGCGCGTGCATGCGGGGTCGGGGCTGGGGCTGAACATAGTGAAGGGTCTCGTGGAGCTCATGGGGGGTCACGTGGCTGTGGCTGATAAGGACGGTCCTGGTGCTCTTATCAGATTTTCCCTCATGCTGTCCCGCGTGCCCTCTCCTGTTGGTGCTGATGGTCCTGGTGATCGTGATGGTGGTGCTCGCATGGACGACCCAGACCTATTGGCATCGTTCATTCCAAGGTGTGCGCGCCCGTTGAGCTCTTGGGTGACACATACGCAGGTGCACTCCTGCGCCAAGTCTCTCCATGGACCAAAATAAGCTCACGAGTCACTCAGAGAACCATGTAACCCTCGCATTTGCCCCATGCACCCATTATACATCCTCCAATTCACCCATCCACCCATCCACCCATCCACCCATCCACCCATCCACCAGGTTTGGAGAAGGCCCGTCGGACAACCCCTGGGGCGAGCTGGCTCCCTCCCCTCCCCAGTTACCCACCCCTGCTCTTAACCACAGCGAGGTAAGCCCGTTCTCACACCACAGCTATTATACACTACGATGCTGTGATGGATGTTTCATCCTTTTTTTCTTTTGTTTTTTTGCTCTGGAGTTTTGACACGAAGGCAGTTCTTCCGGCACTAAGCTTGGTACACTGTCCTTCTCCGCTCCCCGTCCTACCTTCCTCACCTGAAGTGACTTTTGAGTCGACTCAAGAATCAGCGCTGGGGTTGCGACAGGACGGCAGTCCTTCCGGCACTGATCTTGTTACATAGTCCTCCTCCGCTCTCCGTCCTCTTTTCCTCTCCCAAAGTGCAGGTGCAGGTGGTGCTGGCAATGGAGGAGTGTCCAGGAATTGCCACAGAAGCTTCACCTCCTGTTCCCCTGTCTCTCCCCCTCGCACCTCTCTCCTCACCCCTTTCCCCTCTTCATCACTTGGTGCAGGTTCAGGTGGTGCTGGCAATGGAGGAATGTCCCGGAAGGGCTACAGCAACCAAATGGCTGGAGGGCAAGAGAATCGCAGTGAGGGAAGTGGGGGCGTGGGAGAGCATCAAAACCGCACTGAGTTAGTCGTTCCCTCCCCTCCCCTTTCCTCTCCTGAAGTGCAGGTTCAGGTGGTCTTGGCAATGGATGAGTGTCCTGGCAGGGCCACACCAACCGCACCTCCTGTTCCCCTGTCTCTCCCCCTCGCACCTCTCTCCTCACCCCTTTCCCCTCTTCATCACGTGGTGCAGGTGCAGGTGGTGCTGGCGATGGAGGAGTGGCCAGGCTGGGCCACAGCAAATCCATTATTCCACCTCCTGTTCCCCAGAGGCCCTCCCCCCCTCTTCCCACCTTCCAACGTGCAGGTGCAGGTGGTGCTGGCAATGGAAGAGTGTCCTGGCAGGGCCACAGCAAATCCATTATTCCACCTCCTGTTCCCCGGAGGCCCTCACTCCCTCCTCTTCCCCCCTTCCAACGTGCAGGTGCAGGTGGTGCTGGCGATGGAAGAGTGTCCTGGCAGGGCCACAGAAACCAGAAGGCTGGAGGGGAAGAGAATTGCAGCAATCTGACCACTTGCTCCCATCTCCCACACCTTACTTCCCCTCTCTTCCCACCTATTATCACGAGCAGGTGCAGGTGGTGCTGGCAATGGAAGAGTGTCCTGGCAGGGCCACAGCAACCAAATGGCTGGAGGGGAAGAGAATCGCAGTGAGGGAAGTGGGGGCATGGGAGAGCATCAAGACCGCACTGGACCACGCCATACACACCTCCCTGCTGCGCCGCCGAACCGCAGCCCTCACTGCCGCCGCTGCCACCATCGGCCATGGGAAGGGTGCAGCTGCTGGGGTGGCTGGAAGGGGAGATGGAGGGGTGCAGAGTGGTGCAGAGGGGTGTGGAGAGGGAGGGAGAGGTTCTCAGGGAGGGGGTGGGGCGTATGTGTCGTCTGAGGCGCGGCGGCGGTCGTTCACTGCGCCGGTTGTGCTTGGAGGGCGTGTGGGGGTGTCTGCTGGTCCTGCAGCTGCTGCTGCTGCTGCCGCTGCTTCTACAGTTGCTGCTGATAGAGGCAACACTGTAGACGCTTCTTCTGCTGCTGCTGGTGCGGGGAGGCACGAGGGAGGGCGGGAAGGAGAGAGGGGAGGAAGCAGGCGGTGGCTGGCGTCCCGTCTGGCTCCCTTTGACTCAGCCCAAAGACCTTCCCAGGGCTTGCTGTCAAAGATGGAACTGGCGTCGATGCTACCGTCTTCTCTTGCTGCTCTGGCTGGCCTGGGGCACTCCTCTCACCACACGTTTTCCTCCTCTCACCACCACTCTCAGCACTCTCACCACCACTCTCACCTTCATTCTCACCACTCTCAGCACTCTGAGCACAGAGCGGCAGCTCAAGAAGCCCCGGCGGTTCTCTCTCACAGAGCAAACGCGTGGGATGGGGACAGGGAGAGGGAGGGCGAGGGGGAGAAGGGGAAGGACAGGGAGAGTGACGCGAAGGAGGAAGCAGAGGCGGACAGTGAGAAAGAGGAGAAAGAGGAGAGAGAGGAGGCGGCGTGGGGAGAGGAAAGGGACATAGTCGCAGGCACAGAGACAGAGACAGAGACAGATACAGACAAGCTTGCTGCCCGCAGCTACCCCATCCTAGCAATCATCGACATCATGCTGCTTCCTGGAAGCCGCGGGCTGTGCAACGCCGTGCTAGACCCAGCAGAGCAGGACCCCTTGGCAGTGGGGGCCAGTGCTGCCAGTGACCTGCCCCGCTACGACCTGCACGGGGAAGGAGGAATGAGCAGCCCTGCTTCTCGCCCGTTTCTCGTGCCGCCTGAACTGGAGAGGCTGTGTGCTGATCTGAACGCCATCCGCACGCAGACCCCCCAGGTGGGTTGGTTGATTCCCTTTCTGCCTTGAGCGGAGTGCTTCCAGGTGGGCTTCAGAGTTGAGTGGACTAGACCCAGCAGAGCAGGACCCGCTGGCAGTGGGGGCCAGTGCTGCCAGTGACCTGCCCCGCTTTGACTCGCATGTAGAGGGCGGCCTCACCAGCCCTGCTGCTTGCCCATTCCTGGTCCCGCCTGAGCTGCAGAGGCTGTGTGCTGATCTGAACGCCATCCGCACCCAGACCCCGCAGGTGAGATCAGTGTTAGGTCTGTCTAGGACTGACTGCCTGGACCACGCGCCCCCTGCACGCCTCACACACAAACTGTGTGCCCCCTGTGTGCCCCCTGTGTGCCCCCTGTGCTTCTCCCAGATGACCGAGTCTCTCGTGGTGGCGTGGCTAGTCCCTCCAGGCGTGGACCCTCGTCTGCGTCGCTTCCTGCAGCAGCAGCACCACTCGCTCGTCACCACGCGCCCCTTGCACGCCTCGCGTCTCACACATATCCTCTCCTGCTTCGCCCACGCCCTCAACGGAGAGCCCATGGGGGGTGGCTCGTCACGTAACTCGTTTTCCATGCTGGCCCCACCCCCTGCGGAAGTGCCTGTTGCATCACCTGCTGCAGCAGCTCCTGAGATGATTCACCAGCACCACCATCAGCAGGAGCAGCAGCAGCAGTCACACTCCCCTGGCCATATCGCCACCCACACATCCCTGCACGCATCAACATCCCCAGCTGGCATTCCTCAGACTGCTGCTGCTGCTGTGGCTGCAACCTCAGGCTCCAACGGGCCTCAAGAGCTTGCTACAGACCCTGAAGCAGCGGTAGCAGGCGTGGAGGGAGCAGGAGTGGGAGAAGTGGGAATGGCAGGAGTGGGAGAAGTGGGAGTGGCAGGAGTAGCAGAAGGAGCAGAAGGAGCAGGAGGGGTGGGAGGAACAGGAGGAGCAGAGTCAGGAGCAGGAGGAGCAACAGGAGCAGCAGGAAGCGTCGCAGAGGCATGTGGTGGTGGTGGTAGTGCTAGTATCGCAGCTGCTGGTGTGGCTTCAGGCGCTTTCTGGGGTGGGTTTGGCAGCTTGAGCGATGGCGCTATGGGTGCTGCTGCTGCAGGAAGTGCCCTTTCGGCTGATGAGGAGCATGAGTTTCAATCCTATGACCTTACTGCACCAGAAAATGCCTTTCCCACGCTTCTGCCTGTCCCTGAAATGCCTGGCCCAGAAATGCATGCCCAAGCAGTGCCTGCACCAGCCGTTCCTGCTTCAGCAGTGCCCGACCTAGCAGCGCCTGTGGCAGAAATTCTGTCCCTATCTGCACCCACAGCGTCTGCTGCTGTGGACGTCCCTCCGTCGCTCAACTCTGTGTGGGAGAGCATCACACGCAGCACCAGGCTCCAATCTGCTGCTGCTGCTGCTGCTGCTGGTGCTGCCGCTGCTGGCACTGTTGCCACTACTGCTGCTACTACTGTTGATGCTGTTGAGACAATGGGAAAAGCAGTAGCAGCAGGAGCAGAAGCAAGAGCAGCAGGTATGGGGTGTGAAGAGATAATGGAGGAGGAAGAGGAGGAGGAGGAAGAGGAGGAGGGTGTGGAGAAGGAGGGATGGGTGGAGGGAGGAGGTGCGAGGCGACGGCTCTCTTTCAACGCTTGGCGTGTGCCTCCCGCGGTCACTTTGAAGTCCACTCAAAATCTGCCAGCGTCTGTCTTGACCTCTGCTGGTGATGCTGGGTCACAGCCACCGGCAACTGCGCCTAAAGCTCAGCACCCCTCTGCGTCTCCTCACACCACACAGCACCCCGCTGCATCATCTCCCACCGTTCACCACCTCTCTGCATCTCCGCACTTACATGTTCACTCCTTGCAGCACCAGCACCGTTCCCACAGTGACCAGTATAGTCGCCCCACGAATACCACCAGTCTCGCCAACCCCCACCAGCCCCGCTCAAGCCTATCCGACGGTCTGGAACGGCTCAGAATGATCAACGTAAATCTCAGCCATCCATCCTCCTCCCTGGCCCATCACCCTTCCGCTGCTGCTTCTGCTGTTTCGGCGTCGCTCGCTTCCCCCTCTGCACTTCCGCATTTTACCACTCTAGTCAGCCCGGGCCAGGGAGGCAGCCTCGGGCGAGGCTCGGCGCAGATCCGGAAGCTGAGCGGCAGCTTCGGCGGTAGTGCGCGTTTTGCTGCGGGTGCTCCTGGTGCTGCTGCAGCAGGCGCAGGAAACCTGAATGGCATAGGGTTGGGCTGGCCAGGTCTAGCCAGCCTGCCTCAATTCGCATCTCTCTCCGGTGCATCCCGGCTGGGTCTTATCCGGTCCATGTCAGCTGTACAGAGCTATGCAGCTGCCTCCTCCCTCTCTGTGCTCTGCCAACCCACCATGCTGTCTGGGATAGGCTATGACCACCAGCCTAGTGTGCTGTCAGGTATGGGCAGTATGGGTGGTATGGGGTATGATCAGTCCAGTTTGTTGTCCGGATTCGGGC